CCAGATGGGTCTCCGGAGACCGGGGTATATCGTTGATATACAAACTGAATAGTAACGGGGAGAGGGCGGAGCCTTGCGGGACTCCGGCTGTGACGTGACGGGGCCGGGAACGCGTTCCCTCGACTCGATATCGGAACGATACCGTCCATATACTGACTTAAAAGCTATGATAAGGAAAACAATAGTACATTGTGCATCAAGGGAGAACAGTAAGACATTTCCGGGAAACACGCGGGATGAGATGTCCTACTTTTTTCCCGCGGTTTTTCTCCTACCAGGCCTAAAGTTCGTGGAGTACCGAGCCGGGGTCCTGGGGCGAAGCTCTGGCAGGGGGTAGGGGAGGCGAAGCCCCTCCGTACTCATAAAAAAACAATTTAACTGTTTTTTTATTTTTAAATAAACTACTACTAATTGAATAAGAAATGTGTGATGAACTCATCTTTGTTTAATACTTCACTATTAAATTTTATTGCCTTTTGTTTAATTTCATTTTTACACATAACACAATATTGCAAATTACCCGAGCACAACAATGGCGGAGAATTTTAGGTGTGTGAGAGCAGACGTAGACACTAACGCGCATGCGCACTTGTACCCAGGGAGGAAAAGTTAGACTTTCTTCCCTGTACAGCGCGAGGAAAACCGAACTTTAGGTGTAGGTAGGAGAAAAAAAAAAAAACTTACTGGCCACATAAAAGTCTTTGATTTCAGCTTTAGCAGCTTCATCAGCGATCCTCTTGTTGTCTATGATGAGATGATAGGCTATCGCCAGTTGGTCGTGCGGATCTCCGCTGAGCAGAGCGTTGTGTACTTCGTGCTCCTTAACACCAAACTTGTCGCACACTTCGGCTATCGCTTCTGTGTCTATTACACTACTATCCTGAATATATAAAAGCAATTTATTAATTTGGGGATTTTTCAAATAATTATAATTTTTGATGACAGTTCATGAATGTTTGACAGATGACAGTTGTTACTGTCAACTTAAAAACATTAGCAGCTCTTCCTTGGTTGAAGATAACTTCATGACGTGTGACATATTTGCCGTTAAAATCAGCAGAGCTAATGCTTGGTCATACAATCATTGGCCCCGTATGACATCCTTTGTTGGCATTTGACTTGACGTAATACCAAGATTCTTAGATGTCATTTAGCAATTTTAAAAGTCTATAAGATTGATTGATGATATATTTTGATTGATCACTTTAAATTGTTTTATTATTCTCATGCAGTTTTTCATCGTACTGCAATTTCGATTAATATTTGAAGTATATTTAAAAAAATTGTTTTGTACCTGTTCCACAGGCGACGGAAATAGATACTCAGGCAGATCTTTCAGGAACCAATCGTGTTTTTTTACATCTTCTATAGTGGCCCTCTTCATTGGGTCCACTTGGAGCATCATACACAATAAACTAACAACACTTTTGTTTAAGTACTCGGGGATCGGGAATATTCCAGACTTTATTTTTCTGAATAATGTTGGGACGTGTTCATCGTCAAATGGTAGAGTACCACATAAGAGTGCATAGAGAATAACACCACAAGACCATACATCCACTTCAGGACCTGCATACAATTTGCCTGATATTACCTGTAAACATGTCATTATTACCTAAGATTAATCTGAATGTTCATGAATGACTTTCATGAGGTATTCCACATATAAAACATAACAATATAAATTTTATGTTGTTACTAGTATTGTGAGTGGGTAGCAAAATCAGTAACGGAATTTAGAGTTTGACCTTATCTGGCTTCTCTGGCTATCAGATCTGGCTGCCCTTGTAATCCCACTTTACATTAATTCATACAAATTTATTTTGACAAATCTCCATTCATGCATCTTTGTGCACATTGTCATTAAGTATGTATGTAAATTACTTACTCTTTTTCAAAAATTTCTAGACTACGACAGGGGTACTCGATAAGTAACCTATAATCTGATAGCAGCTTGCAAAAATTTTGTCAGGTCAATTGTATTTAAGAGATAAAATTGTTTATTCCATTTTATTAAATTACCTCAGGCGCTGCATAGTTTGGTGATCCACAAGAAGTCCTCAGAAACTCTCCATCCATCATCATGTTAGACAGTCCAAAGTCTGCTATTTTCACATGCATATTGTGATCTAACAACAGATTCTCTGGCTTCAAGTCTCTATGTACAATCATATGCCTGTGACAATAATCTACACCGGATATAATTTGTTGAAAGAACCTTCGTGCTTCATGTTCTTGGAGCTTTCCTCGCTTTACAATGTAATCAAAGAGTTCTCCTCCAGAAACATATTCCATAATCATAAATATATCAGTTGGAGTTGATATCACCTGTGAAGTTATATATTATTATTTCTATGTAATTTTATCATCACGTTCATAGATGTTAGTTCAGTGTTAACTTATAAAAATTTTGAGGGACCAGAGCATTTTTTATTTTTGTGCAAAGAGAAGAGACAATTGAATGCTTCTTTCAATATGTAATTAAATTCTTTTAATTACATGAAACATTTGATAATATTCAAGTTAATCTTTTCCTGACGTTTTTTCTAAGACAGAACTTGTTTTGTATTTTCTTATGTATTTCATTGCACTGTGAATGCAGTTTAGTAACTTAAACAGTTTTTTTAACATTTACGAAATAATCTATATGAAAATATTTTCTATTATGATATGAGTATCTTTACAAAACATTGTACAAGCCACTTAGTTTGAGTACACAGTGCAAGGTCAACGTAATTAGCTAATGTTTACCTGATATAGCTTGATGATATGCGGATGTCTGAACAACTTGAGGTTTTGGATCTCACGTCTTATCTTTCCCACGACATCTAGAGATTTAATCTTCTGTCTGTTAAGGATTTTAATAGCAACTTTGTGCTTGGTTAGTTGGTGCTCTCCTATTTTAACTTTTCCAAATGTACCTACTCCTAGGGTCGTCCCGAGTGTGTAGTGCCCTATTTTTACAATTGGCTGGCAGTTCGCGCTTGCTGGAACTGGTTTATCAGGCTTCTCTGCCATTTTCTTCGTAATTTTAGTTTTTCTATGGGAAAACTTTACACATTAGGTAAGCACGTGGTTTAGCTTCGTGTTAAGTATTTATTTTATTTTACACGTTGCAAAATTCGAATAATTTTTGTTATTATTTTTTCTGTTTTTATTTCAAATTAATTGCACATATTTTTATAGAAAAACACCAGTTTCATAATGAAAACTGTCACAAATCAGAATTGTCAGATTTAAGTTTTGAGTGGTAGTTATATTTTTCCAAATGAAACGGCAAAGGTATCGTGCCAAACAGCCTAATCTTACATTATAATTTTTTTTATGAAAAATGATAATATGAGCTGAAATGAAATAAAGTTGATTAATTTGAAACATAAATCAATTGGCATGGAATTAAATAAGATGAGATGTTATGGGATGAAATATAATCTCAATAAAATGGTAGTTATTTACTGAGAATTTTCCAAGGAACTTTTTGAACGATGCCGAGAAGCTACGGCCCGGCCAGTGGTTTTGTTTCATTTTCTCACATTTATGCACTTTCACAGATTCTAAACAGATAATAAACCACCGTTATTACCCATTTAAGCCGAAGAAATATTAAATATACAAAATAAAACAATTTCCAACTTCGCTTCTCGTGTTCCCGCCAAAATGTCTGTCAGACAGATTTGATTGCCATGAACAGTTTTCCGATTTGACAGCTAAATGAAACATAGCACATATATTGTGGTTTTTCCTGGATTGAGCCACGGAGAGCCAAAAACGGAATAAAATATCAAAGTAGTATCTATCTAGGTATTCCACTGGTATTTCCACTGTTTGTCAATTGGTCTTCTTTCTTTTTTGTTTACTTGCTATTAAGGAGCTTATTTTCCTGGTTGTATTCTTTATTTCTGAAGGTCGTGTGTGTGCAACAAAAGTTGGTATTTACTTGGCCCATCACCCCTTTGATAAAATTGTCAAGTTGCCGACGGGCCACAAGATTATAGTAGCCCACAATCCTTTGGAATCATATTATGGAAAGAGTTTGGTCTTACTGTCTAATTGATCTAAAATAAATCGTTTTTCTTTTAGTAGTACAGGGTATTCAGAGCATCTTTCTCTAACAACACATTTCGAAGGAATCCTCCTTTTTCCACTTAATTACTCGAAAAGTCTACTACTCGCATACTAGATGAATGTCCGGATCAGTTTTTTATTGATAATATTGGTGACCTGCAGGTACTTCCAAATACGTGTAAGCTTGTTCGAGTGTCCAGACCAACTTTAGTTACATCAAAAATCTTTTCTTGGAATAGTATTTTTTTATATTTTGATATTAACAAAACAAAACATAAAGTACAATAATGTAATTGGTATAGGTATCGAGAAGGTGATTAAAGTCTATTACAGATTATTGGAATAAATGGATCATTAAGCGAACATTGATGAAATTAAATGAACAATTTCGCTTATGGTGCAGTTTTACAACCGCGCAACGATTACAATACACAAAAAAGAGTGGTTTGAACGAGTTAAGATAGAGAACAAGAAGAAAATATAATATAAATTTTATCGTGGACTAGCACACGAACTATCTTCTGTTAAGCCGTTACTGTTATCTTTGGTATTACGACGTGAAGGTCGTCACCATATCGAGTCATGAGTTCAAGTTTCCTTTTTCTCGTAATTCAAGGCATCATTACACGATGTCATTCTTTATTGTCGAAATCATTTAAGAATACGTTTTAGACCAAGTGAGATATGTAAATATTTCCATAGAAAGGAGAAGAAATGAATGAATTTAGCCTAATTTTAAAATTTAATTAAATAAAACTGGGAGAAAATTCTTCTTGGATTTTTTCATTAAATGCGTTGACATTATTAAACTCCTTATTAGCTCATTGCAGAATGTTGAAACAGTTAATAGTGGGTAAAAAGATGAGTCGCTGATGGCCGTAGACTACCATTTAAAAAAAATCCCCTCCTCCCGTACTTCTCGCACCCGACCCGCCCTGTAATAATTTTTCTCAGCGGTGCCCTATCCATGTAAAAATATTAAGTTTTATTGTTTTCAAGTGTTCTTAACACTTTTTTTTCTTCAATTGTGTGTTTTTACAATGGATAAATGTGGAGAATGTTTGATACCGGCTGAGGTAACATATCTTTATCTATTAACTGAGCGTCATTTCAAGACGTTCTTTTATTATTTTTTGTTTTCTTAACGTGATAGTTGTAAAAATAACGTCCCTGAATCAATGTTAGATGCCTTTATGACGGAATTGTTGTGTTTAAAGGGGTGCAGTTGATGTTCTCTATTTGAATATCTTGAGTATATCGTCGACAAAAAAACATTCGAAACCTGCCCGCGTAATTTTTTTTTACTTGCTTAGCCGTCGTTCGCTCGGTCGGCCTGTTTTTTTTACGTCTGGCTCGGCGCTGTGTAAAAAAACGAATGTTCTTTTTTTTTTTGGACGGANCGACAAAAAAACATTCGAAACCTGCCCGCGTAATTTTTTTTTACTTGCTTAGCCGTCGTTCGCTCGGTCGGCCTGTTTTTTTTACGTCTGGCTCGGCGCTGTGTAAAAAAACGAATGTTCTTTTTTTTTTTTTGGACGGATAGTGAACCTTGGCATATTCCATAGGTCTGGCTGAGAAAACAAAACGAAAAAGTTTTGATTGATTTGATTTTTAAAGTACTTTTGTGTAATATTTATCTTAAATTATTTTATCATTAATCTTGAACTCTATTGTTAAAATGCTTTTAATTTTGTTTAAGTATAAATCTGAAATATGTATTAAATTTAGTGTTTTTTTCAGCAATTATTCGAGACTGGCAAAGATGGAGTTTATGCATGTTTCAAATGTCAACCGTTAGTACCTGAAGTTTCCATTGGAGAAAGCAGTACAGAACAACACAATACATCACAGTCCACAAATGATGAGGTCTCTAACAATGCCATTTTAATAAGAAATATATTATTAAGTCGCATAATTAAATACTCTTCCATGTCATCTTCCGCTCCAATCCATGAATGTCAGGTTCAAGATTGGATCCTATATTTTTCCTTATACAAAGCATCCTATATCCAATTTAATAGTAATATTTTTAAGTTTTTCTTTACTTAATATTACATAATGGGTTTGTGGTATACCTTCCCTAAAAATGAACTCATAAGCTAATGCTTCCTAAAACATCCTTCCAGCGAAAGGCAAATTTTATGAACAACTGACTCCTAAACGCCTCTGGGACTTTAACACCTCAAAAGGTATCCTCATAAATGAACAGTTCCAAACATGCCAAACATTTGTGCATCCAACAAGTGCACCATCTCACGGAGCATATAGGACTAAATAGACCTAGACCTGCCCCCACATGAGCCCCCTTTTTCGATATCTCGAACTGGTGGTAAGACCTCTTTTGAGTCCGCACGGGTAGGTACCACCCTCCTGCCTATTTCTGCCGTGAAGCAGTGATGCGTTTTGGTTTGAAAGGTGGGGCAGCTGTTGTAACCATACTGAGATCTTGGAACTTATGTGTCAAGGTGGATGGCGCATTTACATTGTAGATGTCCATGGGCTCCAGTAACCACTTAACACCAGGTGGGCTGTGCGCTCGTCCACTCATCTAAGCAATAAAAAAAAAGTGTTCGACAAAGTCTGGCACAACGGCTTAGTATTCAAACTACAACATGGAAGTGCCAGACAAACTCGTACTCATCATACGAGATTTCTTGTCGAACCATTCGTTTCGATACCGAGTAAAGGGAATCCGCTCTCTCCCGCGTCAGATCTCGGCCGGAGTTCCGCAAGGGTCTACTATCTCTCTGCCACTTTTCAAATTATACATTAACGAAACACCCCGGTCGCCGCCGACCCAGTTAGCCCTCTTCACTGATGATACGGATCTCTACTACTCGAGTAGGAAGATGTCGTTCATCCGCAGTAAACTCCAGATCGCAGTCACTGGGACAGGCCAGGACAGTGGTTCCGGAAGTAACGCATCAATATCAATCCTACGAAAAGCACAGTTGTGCTCTTCAAAAGAAGTCGCCATCGCGACTCCTCTGCTATTATCTCGTCTCGATTTAGGCGCGATAACTCCATTCTCGCCATAAACATTTTTGGCCAGCTCACACCGTGGGCTTCGAAGAGTTAAGTATGTACTTTAGGCGTCATCCTCGACGGAGGGATGACATTCGGTCCCCACATTAAGGCAGTACGCGACTGGGCCGCGTTCCTACTCGGTCGACTTTACTTCAAACGAAGTAAATTGTCCCTTCGTAACAAGGTGACACTACAAAACTTGTATACGTTTCGTCGTGACTTATGCAAGTGTAGTGTTCGCTCACGCGACCCTTACACACACCGATACCCGTCGGAGCACCGTGGTATGTGAGGAATGTAGATCTTCACAACGACCTTAATCTAGAACCGATGCGTAAGTGTCATAGAGAAGCGTCGGAACGCTACTTTGAAAAAGCAGTGCGGCACGATAACCCTCTTGTCGTGGCCACTGCTAACTACAACGACGGGGCAAAGCAAAGCCGGCGGCGCCCAAAACATATGCTGGACGAACCCGTCGCTTGCGACAAAGGGCTCGACGAGTAAATCAACCCTCAGACACAGCCCACTGAATTTATCGCCGGATCTTCTCAGTGGGTCGCGTTTCCGATCCGGTGGTAGATTCTGCGAAGTACGGCTCTTCCTAGGGTTCGTGTTAGGTTAACGTCGTCAGGGTGTCCCGTGAGCTCACCTACTAGTTAAGGTTTAGCTGAAATAGCCTCTCAAGGCTCTCAGCTTAGGTAGGAAAAAAAAAGAGAATAGTGTAGCTTCCAAACTGTGAAAGAATTTTTCAAATCGGTTCAGTAGTTCGGAGCCTATTCAATACAAAAAAACAAACAAACAAATCTTTTCTCTTTATAATATTAGTATAAAACTATAGAAGTTATAGAAGTATAGAAGAATATTAGTATAGAAGTATAGATTATTCCTTCAATATGTACTTATTCAACTAGAAAAAATAGTTTTTGAACATGGCATATCTAGCCAGAAATGAGTACAGCATTCATCTTATCTTTTAGGTCACGATAACTCAGCAGCATTCGTAATGCAATCAATTTATTTATTCGTTAACTGCATTAATAACTACCATTTAATACATTTTTTAATGGTTAAAAAGCGCAATCTAACAATTTCATGGGTTTTATTAACTGTTGATCCATAGTCTACCACCATCTTTTGTTTCTGTCATTCCTGTATGAAGGGTAGTATTGTATTGTAGAAAAAATACTGGGTGTTAGGAGACCGCTTCCGAAAACGAAGACAGACGACAGTACTAATGACTCTTTTGACGACGGGACGGAAAAGAAATCCATCATGATTTAAAAAAAAACATATTTTTAAAACGTTTTATTAGTGTTATTTACGCTCCATCATGTTAGTGCAACTAAATGAAACGATAGTTTCATAAAAAATACATTACTAAAAAAAACAGCAATGAAACACAAAAGCAACTTTTACTGGTGGTAGGACCTCTTGAGAGTCCGCGCGGGTAGGTACCACCACCCTGCCTATTTCTGCCGTGAAGCAGTAATGCGTTTCGGTTTGAAGGGTAGGGCAGCCGCTGTAACTATACTGAGACCTTAAAACTTATCTCAAGGTGGGTGGCGCATTTACGTTGTAGATATCTATGGGCTCCAGTAACCATTTAAAACCAAGTGGGCTGTGAGTTCGTCCACCCATCTAAGCAATAAAAAAAAAACAGCTGATGCTCGGATCAACCAACGCCCGGGCGCGGTGTTTCTTTTACACGCACACCGGCACGGCGCTGATACCGCGCTCCCCAACATTTACAACTTTGTAGGTAGATACAAAATTTTCGTTTTCGAAAGCGGTCTCCTAACACACACCGGTCACTCACATGCGTACGAATACGCAAACCCGCAAGTGTAGGACGACATTTGCAAATGATTATGCAAAGTTTTCGCTGCATTCGTGGTTTTCCAAGCTGTGTCGGTTTTTTAACAGACATCAAAGCGCGCGAACCTCGAACCTTCGCGTAGTCTCCCACACATTCGCTTGCCCAGTTGCGCCGACGATTGCGAAGGTGACGGACGTATCGCCATTTTCACAGATCGTGACGTCTACTGTGTAGCGTATCTTCATCAAAAGAAATCCCATAAAAACAGCATGGCTGTTAATGATGTCTGGGAAAGAATTCAAAACTCTTTTTCTCTTCAATGTTCTATTGACGAATTAAAAGGGAGGAGAGATTCGTGAGACATTCGTAAACAAGTGTGGGAGGAAGCGCAAACGGGTTCGCAAATTGAGTACCGAACCCATTTGCACAGCCGCTAGGTTTGCGAATGAATGTTTGACGGCCCGTCAGTGGCCGGCATTAGTATAATACTTTACTAGCGGCCCGCTCCGGCTTCGCTCGGGTCCTTAACAAAAATTTCAACGACGTTGTTTTATTTTTTTAAATAAAACCCTTTTTTAAATAATAATATATTCTACAAAGTCGTAGTACATTATTTTATTCTATCATCAATAGTTTTCGCAGGGCACGCGATGTAAAGAATATTTTAGGTAACTTTTTTACACCTTGAGTTACATTATTGGAGTTTTAGTAAGGATCCCTAATTTTTTTCAAAAAAGATTATAGGCTATGTCACTCGGGAATAATGTAGCTTCCAAACAGTGAAATAATTTCTCAAATCGGTTCAGTAGTTTCGGAGCCTATTTAATACAAACAAATCTTTCCTCTTAATAATATTAGTATAGATAAGGATGTTTGGCCTCTGCCCGATTCAGATCCATATTAACATTTCCAGGGTGTCGACTCCTCATTGTTCTGTGGTATATGTCAAAAATCGTTTCAGAAGAATGCACAGTTGCAGAACCACTTACGTCACCATCGTGCCGAGAGACGATTCGTCTGTGCCTTCTGTAATAAAGGTTAGATTTAAAAACATTCTCCACGAGATGAGGAAAGAACTGTAATAAATATTTATTATATTTAAAATATTGAACAAACAAACAGTATATTAGTAGTATTGATAATAATAATCTATTATACAAAAGAAACATACTATAATAAAGATTTATTATATTTAAAATATTGAACAAACAGACAGTAGATTAGTAGTAGTGATAATCATAGTATATTATACAAAAGAAACATGTCTGCAATCCTGGAGTAGCTCCTTGAAGGATCGAAATATGTAATAAATATATCTTTTTTCCATCAAATGAATTTCATTTCAGCTTTGTAAAAGCATTACTATATGAAATGTTAATGAATGTAATATGGATGCAAAATCTGAAGTAAATGAAAAATATATATACATGTGTGCAATTCACACGTGGTAGAAGTGAAACCTTCCAAAATTAAAATACAATTATCCTAAACGTCTTAAGTATATGAAAACCTTTGTCATTAGTAAATAATTGTAAGGTAGCGCCCTCTGTGAATTGATATTTTAATTTCACGTATAATCCTAAATTAAAATTCACTACAAGAGCTTTCATACACACGTTATTAAAAAANATATATACATGTGTGCAATTCACACGTGGTAGAAGTGAAACCTTCCAAAATTAAAATACAATTATCCTAAACGTCTTAAGTATATGAAAACCTTTGTCATTAGTAAATAATTGTAAGGTAGCGCCCTCTGTGAATTGATATTTTAATTTCACGTATAATCCTAAATTAAAATTCACTACAAGAGCTTTCATACACACGTTATTAAAAAAATCTCACAGATGGCGCTGTATTAAATAGTATGTATATTTCTGTCTCATTCTTTGCTGGCTTCATCCTACACATTTTTGTATTTGTGTCTCTTACCTGTCGTTTTTTCCGTTGCATCCGGTTTGAAATCACCTTCAAAAAATAGTGGTCAACATCAAATTTTGTCAACTTTAAGAGAATATTATGATTGATTGGATTACTCTTTCAGCGTTTTCCCAGTCAAATAATTTGAGGGCGCATCTTCGTATCCACACAAATGAGAGGCCGTTCAAATGTAGCGAATGCGGGAAGGCTTTTACACAGGTCGGTTTCGATTTAAAAAAATAATAATAGTAATAATATATCGACGCTTGAAAGGCAAACGTGACTAAGCGACAATAACTGCTTTGTACATAAATGATAGGCAATAACCATATTCGATGCGCAAAAAATATATATTTCTAGGTCTATTAAAATCATTTCAATCCTACAGCTAGATTCGTTAAAATAGATTTTTTTTCCGGTATTTCAACTTTAAATTAGTCTACTGTAAAGTTCACGCATTGTCGCTTAGTCACGTTTGCCTTTCAAGCGTCGAATATTATATGTACTTCGGTCATTATTTTTGTAGATTTAATAGAAAAATTTACATTTTTTTTTTGTTGTGTTTAGTTAACAAATCTGAATAACCACGTGAGACTTCACACCGGCGAGCGTCCCTTCGTGTGTCCCGAGCCCGGCTGCGATAAAGCGTACGCACAGGTACGTGGGTTCTGGGCATAGACAAGTCATACACGGCCTCTTATCGTGGCCTCCTCAAATTATATTCCCGACTCAAACGACCGGGCGACACAGCCGCCAACGCCCTAAACACGTCTTATCTTCACGATTCACTCGGTTCATTTGTGTACTGGTGATAGGACCACTTGTGAGTCTGCGCGGGTAGGTACCACCACCCTGCCTATTTCCGCCGTGAAGCAGTAATGCGTTTCGGTTTGAAAGGCGGGGCAGCCGTTGCAACTATATTACCTTAGAACTGATATCTCAAGGTGGGTGGCGCATTTACGTCGTAGATGTCTATGGGCTCCAGTAACCACTTAACACCAGGTGGGCTGTGAGCTCGTCCACCCATCTAAGCTATAAAACAAAAAAAAATCTTAGCACTGTTCACTGTTCTCCTCGAACTCGTCGAATGCGATGAACGGTTTGACGTGTAACTTAATGACTGAGTTTCTCTTAAGTGGGTCGCGTTTCCGATCCGGTGGTAGATTCTGCGGATCACTGCTCGAACTAGGGCTAGTGTTAGGAAATTTGTCAGGTTAAAGCCCAGTGAGCTCATCTGCACGCTCGGTGAAACTGACATAGCTTTTTTTTTTCCTACCTAAGCTGATAGCCTCGAGAAGCTATTTTGGCGTAACCCTAACTAGTAGGTGAGCTCACGGGGCTCAATAATACGAACCCTAGCAAGAGCCGTGCTTCGAAGGATCTACCGCCGGATCGGAAACGCGACCCACTGAGAAGATCCGGCGAGAAACTCAGTGGGCTGTGTCTGAGGGTTAATTTACTCGTCGAGCCCTTCGTCGCAAGCGACGGGTTCGACGAGAACGGTGACCGGTGCTTGAGGTACCTAAAAGCACCGTTAGTGGATCGGGAGGATCCGAAATGACGTGTTTGGGGCGACGTCGACTGCTTTCCATTCTGTCCGCAGGATCGGGAATGGGGCAAAGCCCCTCGAGGTTACCAGTATAGGTAAAGAACAAAAAACATTTGGACTGTCAGTCTACCGAGAATTACCCAAATATTAATTTATTTCCCTTAATGCCGATGCTTATTTAAGTAATGAAATGCCTACGTGTGTAACGCACAGGTGACGAACTTGAACCAGCATCGGAAACGTCACTTGAGCGGGCGGCCCGTGGAGTCCACGTACGACTGCACCGTGTGCGGCGAGTCCTTCCAGCAACGGAATCAGATGTACACTCATAGGTGAGATTCGTTTTAATCAAATATTAAAAAATGTCGCATCCGGACACGATAGACGAAGCGAAAGCGCGCCATCTAGTGGATGTGGGACTTCGGGTGGCGAGTTTCGGCAGAGTCGAGGTGTCATCGCTCGGGTTGAATGGAAGCACATTCGTTGCCTGAATTAGGAAAAGAGTGAAGACGTCTCGGAACTGTCGTCATTTTATGCTGCGCAATCTCTGCACGACTACCCACCATACGCCTATTATTACTTACTGGTGGTAGGACCTCTCGTGAGTCCGCACGGGTAGGTCCCACCACCCTGCCTATTTCTGCCGTAAAACAGTAATGTGTTTCGGTTTGAAGGGTGGGGTAGCCGTTGTAACTATACTGAGACCTTAGAACTTATATCTCAAGGTGGTTGGCGCATTTACGTTGTAGATGTCTATGGACTCCAGTAACCACTTAACACCGGGTGGGTTGTGAGCTCGTTCATCCATTTAAGCAAAAAAAAAGTCAAGAAATAATGAAGATATCGGCCCATTCTGCAACATACATAATCAAAATTAACTATTTTGAATATGTATTATAGTCTATAGACTATATACTATGTAGACCATATACTGGAGGTACATCGACTATTCGTATATGCATGATTTGAACCTTAAAATTTAAATTGAATAATTCGAATTAATAGTGTTCGATACCCAACCCGAGTTAATATTTTTATGAAGGATATTCGGTGTTTGGAGCACGTTTACTAAACAGTAATGATGATAATGTTTACAGACGTGAAGTTCACGGGGAATTGAAGAGTCCGATGCGCGTCGCCAATCAGCGGCGAGCTTGCACGCTGTGCGACATGACGTTCCCCAACGAGCGCCTGCTGCTGCAGCACGCCGCGCAGCACCTCGCCCCGCACCTCGCCCCGCACCCCGCCCCGCACCCCGCCCCGCACCGCGGCGCCGACGACGTCGACGACAACAGTGCGTGTCCACGGTGCCATTGGACCACGGTCCATGACAGTAGCTTAAACTTAACAGTCGCGTGGTCAATACAAGTAACAAACACTACGATAGAATTCGCATGCATTATTCTGCGAAAATTACATTTAAACTGTTGTGTGTAGTTTTTTCGTATTTTCGTTACGGTATCGACCCAGAGGCGATAATCTCTAAAGCAAATGATCAAAGAAATTTCATATATATATTATATGATGATGATATCTGTCTGTGAAGTCTAGAAAAATCAACGATCTATTTAACCTCTTCAGAGACGAATTTTTTAAAGTATTAAATTCTTTAATTTAATATATTATTTATAATATAATGTGCATTATGTGCATACTATATATAAAAAAATTCATGAAGTAAAAAAATAAAAAAGAAACAGTGAATTAAATATATAAATAATAATAGTAATAAAAACTTAAAAACCAACATATGTGCCAATATTCCTGAAGAGGTTAACATATTTTTAAGATTAAGTTCATCGTTATTTGCGTTTTGTGTGTACGACGAGTCCGTTTGTCGGCGNTAATGTGCATTATGTGCATACTATATATAAAAAAATTCATGAAGTAAAAAAATAAAAAAGAAACAGTGAATTAAATATATAAATAATAATAGTAATAAAAACTTAAAAACCAACATATGTGCCAATATTCCTGAAGAGGTTAACATATTTTTAAGATTAAGTTCATCGTTATTTGCGTTTTGTGTGTACGACGAGTCCGTTTGTCGGCGTGTGTGCAGAGTGCCTCTACCCGTGCGTGTTCTCGTCGTGCTCGGCGCGCCTGCCCTCCCCGCGCGCGCACACCGAGCACCTGCTGGCCGCGCACCAGCTGCGCGTGCTCGCCGCGCACGACGCGCGCCCGCCGCGCCGGGGACGCCCGCCCAAGGTACGCGCCCGCCACTAACTAAAGACGAGTTGTGGACTGTATTTTTTTAAGGGATTTTATGACCTGGTAACTGAGACCTTTAAGTCATGTCTTATTTTAATTTATATACATATGTTTATGAAAAATGATATTATAGAGTGAGATGAAATGAAGATGATTAATTTGAGACATTAATCAACTGGGATGATATTAAATGAAATGAGATGATATGGGATGAAATATAATCTCAGTAAAATGGTGGTCATTTACTAGGATTTTTTCAGTGGACTTTTTTGAGGATCCCGAGAAATTACGTTCAGCGGCTTTGTTTGATTTTCCCACATTTGTGCACTTTCACAGATATTAAGCAGTTAATAAACCACCGTAATTACACATTTAAACCCGAAGAAACACTAACTAACTTCACTCCTCGCGTTTCCACCAAAGAGTCAGACGACTTACATTGGCACAGATTACTTCTATATTCCTGACTTTAAGCTGTGTTCAATTTGATAGACTCACCCTCGCCTAACTAAAGACGAGTCGCGGACTCTTACATTACTTCAGATATTGCATCCATATTACATTCATTAACAATAAAATTTCACAAGAATGCTTGTAATTTTTCACGAATCCAACTCCTAATTTCTATTTCTTTGCAGATGTTGAAAGAAGACCCCTTGGACCTGAAAGACAACACCCAATTTCACGAGGTATATTGAATATTCCACTGACCTTCAGATTCTGTGCCTCAGCATCGAGACTGAATCACAGTATCTTAAGTTATATAAGAATAGCGTCAAAACTAATTAATTTAATAGAATATGCGATTTCGAAAAGGGCACATCCCTGAAAATGTAAAATGTTCAGGAAATGAAAAAAAAACTGATTATTTTCTAAAGCAGTGTAAAATTTAAAATATTAACTTTTGAGATATATTTTAGTGTTAATTAGCAAATTGAAAATTACTGGAATTATTATAAAATGGGTGTAGGTAAGCCTCAAAACTACATGTATATGAAAAAACGTATTTGACAAAATATGGTTTATATATATATTTGGTTAGTATTTTTTACTGGTAATAGGACCTCTTGAGAGTCCGCGGGGGTAGGTACCACCACTCTGCCTATTTCTGCCGTGATGCAGTAATGCGTTTCGGTTTGAAGGGCGGGGCAGCCGTTGTAACTATACATGAGACCTTAGAACTTATGTCTCAAGGTGGGTAGCGCATTTACGTTGTAGATGTCTATGGGCTCCAGTAACCACTTAACATCAGGTGGGCCGTGAGCTCGTCCATCCATGTGAGCAATAAAAAAATAATGCGATATGTGTCCTTTTCGAAATTTCATATTCAATTGATTGTATAATTTTCAGGTGACGATAATCAAACATTCGCAGCGGCAGTTGCCCAAATTGAAAGTGCAGAGTTTATTCCAATGAGATGGGTTCGGTTGTGCGTTCACATCGGCACGCAGGAAGTCCTCGTGTCTCGTGTAGGTCCAACTAATGAAATAAAATTATAATCAACTCGTATTTCGAAGGCACAAAGCTTATTATCCAATAGCCGTTACAATCTCAATGATTCTTTCGATGGAATAAAAAAAAATAGAACTGTATTTTGTATATAGTTAAACAAATGCATTGATTTATTTTTAGAACATAGATTGTGATCTGTGCCTTCGTTATAGCGAAACTTAGTTTTTAATAACACGCTTTGTATTATTGCATAGTGCTTTGTAAAGACACGCACACAGCGGAATGTTTAATGATATGGTGCAGAAGTGTGACGTCACAGAGATCTATTAAAACTAATTTTTAGTGTAAAATTGTCACGTTATTAGTATGGCAACTTGTACATGTGCAGAGATAATGTGTTGCCATAAAAGAGTTTATATTAGTCAATGGCATTGAAACGACACTTAAAAAAAAATTTTTTTTAACAGATTTGCTCTCGTTTTATTTATTAGAAGTGCTTTCAGACCGCGATTTATAAAGTAAAATCTAAAAGACGTTAATAAGTGTATAATTAATTATATTTAAAGCTTAATTTAATTTAACTTAAAAAACATATGTGCAGTACTCATGAGGTATATGGGATACCTTCTATATGTATAGGGGAGTATCCTATCTCAGTCTCTTGTTGGCTAAATATTTATAGATTGTATATGTTTGTCTCTTTTTAGAGTCGCTCTTTCGTTTCATCAAGTTTTAGAACACAACGGTGCTAGAAGTTATCACTTCAAAAATCTAAAATAAGTATTTGCCGAAGTAAAATACTTTGTAATGACATCCCTATTGCTTGCGACATGTTAAAATCTTATACATGCATTCTAATCTCGGAGGTAATTTTATTTCACTGCCATTATAAATCGTGTTTTATTTTTACAAATGAGTCAAGTTGGTCTGCTGGATTCTGTCATAAACACTTCATATTATCATTTTGTTAGTATAAGAGAAGATTATATGTATATAAACAATTGGCACGTACTGAGACAAATCTTTTGAATGCGTCGTTTGAAAGCTCTGGGGTACTCTGACGTCATTCCGCAGAGAACGCAAACGTCCTTAGGTACCTTGAGTTTACCATAAATATTAATATAATTTTACCGTAAAACAATAATTTACAACTAGACGATGACCGAGCTTTGCTCGGTATTTTTTCTTTTTGATAAATTGTGTTTTTCAGGTGGCTTAGCAACGCCATCTGCTGAAATAGCTTTAGTGTTATTGTATCTTTAAAGCAGTATTATTATTCGGCAATAGATGTCGGGAAGAGTCATAAAGTTGATTATCGATAAAGTTGATTATTGAAAACACGAATAAAATATTTTTTGAAAATAAATCGTACCTAGATCGATTTATCGCCCCCGAAATCCCCTGTATAGTAAATTTTATAAAAATCGTTGGAGCCGTTTCCGAGATTCAGATTATATATATATACAAGAATTGCTCGTTTATGCGTATAAGATCATCTCTATGACGTCACTACCTGTACTTCGTACCGCTCGATGGGACAAACGGGATCGTTGAAATGATTTTTTTTTTATGATAAAATTAATTAAATATATATCATACAAATTGAAGAAGAAAAAAAAAACACTAAATTGGAACGTGTGAAACAAAGAAAAAAAGTATTGAAAGTAAAACGGTGATCTCTGAAAGTGGATTCTCTTACTCGAATATTTTCGATTTTCGTTTCTAAAAAGAGTTATTTATATTGTAAAATAGAGAGTCTACAAAATATATACATATTATACATATATAAAATTATATTTATAAGTGATATTAGTTTTAAGTGCAATTTTATTTTGTTTATAAGGTAAGATCGCGTTGACATTGTGGTTGTATTCGCTGGTTTGTACTTTAGGATAAAATGTTTATCAATTTTTGGTTTTTGTTTTTAAAGGAATCGAATTTAGTTTAAAATCCGTTCGGTGTGACGTCTCTCATTCACAATAGCCACATGTGACGTCACGATGTGTTTGAATTATTCGATTCTGTTTGTTGAATTTCAAATGTAAGTCATTAATATTCCACATATGAAGCGATGGAAGGCCGGTTTGTTACTAATGAACTAGTAATAAATGAATAAATCGAATTCTCCAGCGAATACAGTCATAGTGAAAATGTAATTAATAAAGTCCACAATGAAATATTTCTTTTCTGCTAATATCAAGGATAGATATGGCTTTATTGATCTTAGGGCATATTGGGAGCGCCAATTCCACCACCCTTTTTACTGGTGGTAGGACCTCTTGTGAGTCCGCACGGGTAGGTACCACCGCCCCGCTTATTTCTGCCGTGAAGCAGTATTGCGTTTCGGTTTGAAGGGTGGGGCAGCTGTTGTAACTATACTGAGACCTTAGAACTTATATCTCAAGGTGTGTGGCGCATTTACGTAATAGATGTCTATGGGCTCCAGTGACCACTTAACACCAGGTGGGCTGTGAGCTCGTCCACACGTCTAAGCAATAAAAAAAATAAAAAAACCCTGCCGACTTTTGCCGCGTAGCAATCTTTCGATCCAGTTTGAAGGATGGGGGATAACAGTTGTTATACTATACCAGCGGTCGGGGAACCGGGGTAAATTACCCCAAATGAGGTAAAAATGAAACTTTTGTGAGTAAAAAGTATATATTGAAGTGAAACTTATTTAGAATCGTTAAAATTTTAGTTATTTTCAAAATTATCATAGGGGCTATAATATGAAAGATGCTAAAAAAAGCGATTTCGTTTTTTTTTGTTCTTCGCCATGGGGTAGTATCAACTTACACAAAAATATTTTGGTGTAATAATTAAAAAGCTCCCCGACCGCTGTACTATACTAAGCTAAGATCTCTCTCTTCTATATCACCGGGCTTTAATCTATATTTAAATATAATAATATTATATGTATTATTATAAAAAAACGATGTGTCGTGGGACACTGGATAGGAACGAAGCTCCTTATTATAAAAATATTAATTTTAAGTTCTATTCGAGGTATAAAGAAAATAAAACTGGAGGTTTCGCAACAACCCACAGTCATGCATGCGGTAACGTGCGAACTTATTGTGGTACACTTCATTCACGGTTGTTTGCTTATGAGTTAGTGTATTGCGCAAACGAACGCTCTGAGATCGTGGTCAATGAATGATAAAAATATATGTTATTTTTTGTACGTTATTACAAAGTTAAGTCGTACACTGTGTGCATTACTAATAAAAATCTTACGCTACGGACGTTTTTCCCCGTTTTTCCCCGGCTAGGGTACCGCTCCGCATCGTTACAAAAATATCTCAATTCCTTTTTACTAAGCGTTTGGTAAATCGGACAGTTGACTGGTTTGAATATATGAATTAAAATAACGTGTAATTTAAATCGACTGATAAATTCCTAAAGAAACGTTATCAACCTGTCCCTTTTCCGCAAAGTGTATTTAGTACAGTACTTGTATAGTGCATTTAAGCGGTGACGTTATTTTGTTTTATAGCAGGCGCCTTCCTCCTTCCGTAAAATCAGAATTTTTAACTATAGCGTTTCTGAGGATTTTTTTTATTGTGTTGGCAGCATTGTTGATTATAGGCATAAGATCGAATTTCCATATATTCGTGCAAGTTATTTTTTGTTCATTATCTAAAATACCAGAATTTTAACATTTCATTGTGGAACTTAGTATACTTTTGTTAACCTTAAATAAATCCAGCCTAGTTTTTATTTTAATGCGATTTTTTGAACGCATTCTTGATTAAGTAAAAAAATAATAATGTTATTTTACTTTTGTTTTTTCAAATTTTGGCTGAATTGGAACTGTGACAGTATTTTGTTGATTTTTTTTTAGAAAACTTGGTCATTATTTATGTGAAATTATTTTAGGCTAATTACTTTTTCTCCTGCAATTGTTTGGGGCAGAATGTTGCCATATAATCGAAATATTTTTCTACACAAAATTTGTTTTAATCAAATAAATAATGTTGTTATCACATAGTTTACTAACATATTTGCGATGTTAATATCAATTTAGAAATCTTTGGTTGTAAGTGCCTGAAAATTTGCAATTCTGTACTTTATTGAAATGGTGAATTCAAATTCGTGTACAAAAATAATTAACATCTTAGGATTTATTCTACGTAGATATTTTATAGATTATATATTCTTAACATATTTTTTTTTTTCAATGAATTCCAAGACCTGGTTCGCTTTTCAAGTTAGGATAAAAGCGATGCTACATCTGTGAGGAATGTTAGTGAGTATCGTTTGCATTTCGATGATTTAAAAAAAAAAAATGCATTGACAGCTTAGATTTTTTGACATTTGAAATTACCTAAACCCGTGAGTTCTGTGCTTTTATAAATGTTTGCTTAATCGACAGATTTGGATGTTTTCGCCTTTACAGAACGTGTAGCTTAATTAGGAATGTATTTAGAAATATCAAGGGTCGATTGACGGGCGAGTTATAGTATTACAGGACGTCAGTCCGACTCGGATGATGCTATGCGATGCGATGATATACTCCTGGCGCACACGATGCGATGAAACTACAAACTTTTTTTTTATGATAGATGATTATGAACTTTAGGCTCTTTGAATAGAACACGAAATCGTTAAAGCCGACTTGCAATTGATTTAACGTGATTTATCAAATTTTTGTCGTACTCTATTCGCTGTGGTACGGAAAGGAGTTCTGAACCTGTTCTTTCAGCGTCAAGTCAGTTCGGGATTAATATCAAGGAGAGCGCATATTGCGTCATTAGCTCATTATATAGCGAAACCGTTCGAGTCTATGAGAGCTACGACATGTCAACCTATTAGTCAACAATGAGGTCTTCATTGAAAACCTTTTGTTATGATCTTAATAGGGAAGGCGTGCTCTTTGAAGGTTGATCGTACTGAGTGATACAACGTGCAAAGAGGTCGCGTACTGCCTACCTTATCACGAGTTCCTGGATATTTCGTTTATTCGCATTAAAACTGTATAATCTCAAAACTTACTAATTTTACAGGAGAGTTTAAAGGTTTAACATGTTATATTTTTAATATTAATCATCTTTGCAACATTTATTATTTATTTTTTACGAATTACATTATCTGTCTTTTAAAGTAAGATAAAATTATGTATTATTTTGATAATAGTAGTCAAAATATAAGTAAACTAAAAAAAAAACTAAAGCTAAACTACGCCCTTTTGATAGTATTTGTGAGAAAAATACTGGTGATACCAAATGATTCCGCATATTAACACAATTTCGAATATTTTTGGAAATTGTACACTTTTAATGCGAAAAGACGATTTATTTAACTTTGACTAGGATTGACATTTGTTGTGATTCGGTCCATAGATAATAATACACTTAAATTCGGTCTGTTAAGGCTACGCTGTGCCCAAATAAGTTTGTGGTGTTGTGATTTGTGCCCTAAACAATCTGAAGTTGCTGCATGTGGCGATACGCATGCGAGCTGCATTGTAAAATATTTAAAATGATGCATCATTAATATAGCATAGCGTAGCACAGTTTTGTGTTGATAGAGAAAAGTACACATCTCTTCTTCAACCCGTGTCCACCCAATGCTGAGTGTAGGTCTCTTCGAATGCACCCCATTCTCTTCGGTCTCTTGCCTTTCGCATCCAGTTCTTACCAACCACCTTGACCAGGTCATCGGTCCACCTCGTTGGCTTCTCCAGCGTTAGCAGGTCTCCACTCCAGTACTTTTGTGCCCCACCGATTGTCAGCGTGACGGCATATGTGGCCGGCCCACTTCCACTTTTTCCGAACAATCACTTTGGCAATGTCAGGCAAACCAGTTCTTCTGCGGATTTCGGTATTGCGCATTCTATCCCGTAGAGAAACGTTCCATGGCTCTTTGCGTGACTTGCACACAAAGTGCACATACTACACCTGTATATTGCGTTTCGATTATTTGCAAGAAACTGAAGCGAATCGTCACATATACGCTAAGGTTAAGGCTTCTCGGTAAACAACCCTAATTAATAATGTATTTTAGGTATCGTGATTGTGAAATAAATGAAATGAGATTTCGCTATGGCACAGCACAGGACACTGGCCGATTTAGGGGTAGTTTTTTTCTCCGACATTCGTTCAACCCCTTTCCGAGGGCGTGTGAGGATGATTCCCTAATGAATTTCTTTAGAATGAAATAGATATCGTTTTTAAAAGTGAATGAATTTTCAAGTCAGTTTGTGAACAGTGTCGATGCATAGTGTTAGGTTGTAGGTTAAGGTGCAAATGTTCCTATGAATGTAATTAACAGATGTGTATGAATACGCCGCTATAATGTATGTATAGATGACCATTTCAATTTTAGCCTTGTCGAAATTCGTTTAGATTGGAAAATTTTCTATTAACATACAACTAATTATGATTAATAAAATATACAATTTTAAAAGAGTATTTTTATTTATTTATCATCATAAAACATGAAGTAAATGTTTTTAGTAATATACGCCAGTGCTGCATGCAAGCTCACTGAATTTCTCGCCGGATCTTCTCAGTGGGTCGCGTTTCCGATCCGGCGGTAGATTCTGCGAAGCACGGTTCTTGATAGGGCCAGTGTTAGCAACGTCATCAGGTTTGAGCCCCGTGAGCTCACCGACTAGTTAAGGTAACGCTGAAATAGCCTCTCAAGGCTATTAGCTTAGGTAGGGAAAAAAAGCTGCATGCACCAAGAAAATACAAAAAATAATAATAACTTACATTAAATTTGCACATGTGAGTTTGTTTTTGAATATTTTGTATCCGATTTAAATTTTGATGACGTTCTAAACCGGATTCAGCCTTCAGATAATGAATGTTCCTTTTGCTCGATGTTATACTAGTGGTTTGACCGCTTTCCGACTAGGTACATCATAGTATTATTAAATAGACACTATTTTAGAGATGGGTAATCTATCGGAAATAAAAATCAGAAGTTGTACATTATAGAAACTATGAAAGCGACCATTTTTGATAAAACTTGCCTTTTCGGCCTAGTGTATTTTTTTTAGTACGAGTAATCAAAGCTAAGCGATGCATGTGACTAGGGGTCGAAATAGTAGTGCAAGGTAGTGAAAGACATGGATTGTGTGAATGAAGATATGAGAGAGAGAGGAGTGAGTGTTGATATGACGGCTGATAGAAGAGAATGGAATAGAAAAATTCGCTGTGCCGACCCCACCTAGTGAGAAGGTGGAGAAACAGAAGAATCAAAGTCAAGTGATGGTAAATTTAGATTTATCGATGTTATTATTTTTTGAAATAAATTTGTTTCCGATTTTTTTGATTTCGAAGCAACTGGTTTGGCTATTTTCAAGGCCAAAACAACATTAAAACCTACAAACGTTTCAAAACTCTTATTATAAAATTCCATTCCGGGTATATAGTAGTATAATTATAGGTAGTAGATTTTTTGTTACTCCATAAAATAGTTGGTACTCGAGTGCTATGTATAAAAAAACGTTTGATTGTTTTTTTTACTTTCTCATCATAAAAAGACCTTTCGCCCGGTGCTAGGTTATCGTCATTTATCGTTGCCTTCCGGGAGATATCCTTTACATCAGTTTTCTTAGTGTAAACCGCTAGAATATGATTTATCGGCAAATTGAACATAACGATGTTACATAATGAGATAATAATATTCATCGGATAACGTTCGACGTGACTGGTTTCTATTAAAATAAATAGAACGAACGTATTATTCTACCTGTAAGCTTGTGTTTTGAATAGCCAGTTATTTATTTTTAATATAAATTTGAGAAGCTGATTTTAGCTAGATATTTATTAGTGCACTCGATGGATCGTTGGGCTGGTAAACTTGCAGTGGTTACGGGAGCCGCTTCAGGTATTGGCGCTGCCGTAGCCCAGGCTCTGGATCGAGCTGGACTCCAGGTGGTAGGATTGGATGTAAAAACGCACGTGGAGGTAAGTACAATATTGCCTTCAAAGCGTGTTTGAACAATGGGCGATCCGATGTGATACTGCCATGTTGCCATCTTGATGCTCTAAACGAATGGTAAACCGTCGACGTCGCCCAAAGCACGTCATTACGGATCCTCCTGATCCATTAACGGTGCTTTTAGGCACCACAAGCACCGGTCACCGTCCTCGCCGAACCCGTCGCTTGCGACGAAGGGCTCGACGAGCGAACTAACCCATAGACACAGCCCACTGAGTTTCTCGCCGGATCTTCTCAGTAGGTCGCGTTTCCGATCCGGTGGTAGATTCTGCGAAGCACTGCTCTTGCTAGGGTCAGTGTTAGCAGCTCTCCGGTTTGAGCCCCCTGAGCTCACCTACAAACGTTACGGCCTCTCAAGGCTATCACCATAGGTAGGAAAAAAAAAGGCTCTAAATGGGGACGATTGTTCACGCTCTGATGCCCACGGACTCCGGCAACCAGTTGGCATCATGTGAGTCTTAAGTTCGTAAGTGTCTCTTATCGGTTACATTTGATCGCACTTCCTATGGTACATAAGGTGGAAAATAGAAAGAGCACCATTTTCTCTACAGACCCAGAGGTTCCAAATAATTAGCATGATTCAAAATTGTTATCGTTTAAGCCAATACAAATACCTACAGATACAAATTTACAGGCCAAGGAATCCGAAATAGAATGCAAAAGAAACATTACATCCAAATATTGCGACATCTCTAAGCTTGAAGATATTGAAAGGGTTTTCAAATGGATCGAAGATAATTTCGGATCTGTTTATGTTTTAGTAAACTGTGCCGGCGTTCTTTACCAAGGACAAATAACAGGTTCGTTGATGTTAGGTATATTCACGTGCTACGAATTTCCTTAATTATTTTTTATTACGTATTACGGTATATCTATTGTTAAGTTTGTCTATAAATTATAAAAATATATTTTAAGATGAGTTTTACGCCAATGCGTTGATGATACTAAGCAACAATGCTATGAAATGATAGAAACAAACTAGTGTACCAAGCTTTTGTGAAATTGAAGTTTTATTTCCTCCGAAGGCTGGTGATGGTGAGTACTGATGATGGTACCCGACGGTGAGTGGATTCCATCTTCCATAGAAAATAGCGGCACCGCCAAGTCGCTAACTACCGCTTCCCAGTAATTTGTATTTCAATGAACACGCAATTATAGTTTTTATTAAATAGACAAGATTAAGAGTAAATAGACTTTTAGGTGAACTAAGGTAATTTTGAATTAAGGAATTGTTCAAGACCAGAGTACGTAATCACGTTCTGTAGCGTCTTGGCTGTCTTTGACAGTTGATGACCCTGATCGATTATTCTCGAACAAAGACAATAAAAATAAAAAAGGTATTCAAAATAAAATCACTACCTAATTAATGATTGGTAAAGTTAATATTCATTATAATTATAATGTAATTATGTAAAAAATAGATAAACTAAAAAGGTAGTCAGTACTTACGTAAATTAAGCTTTTCCTGGTGGTACTTTTTACTTAGCTTTTACTGGTGGTAGGACCTCTTATGAGTCCGCGCGTGTAAGTACCACAACCCTGGCTATTTTTGCCGTGAAGCAGTAATGCGTTTCGGTTTGAAGGGTGGGGCAGCCGTTGTAACTATACTTGAGACCTTAGAACTTATATCTCAAGGTGGGTGGCGCATGTACGTCGTAGATGTCTATGGGCTCCAGTAACCACTTAACACCAAGTGGGCTGTGAGCTCGTCAACCCATTTAGATGGGTGCTTAGACAATAAAAAAAAAACAAAATAAAACGAAGTATCGAAAAACTTTTTTCAGTTTTGCAATGTACTTTATTTTCAATTAGACCTTTGTAGCAAATATTTTAGCGGCGCGTTTTATTTCGCAGGCGTTGGAGACAATCCTTTAAGTGTGAATCAGCTTGTCGAAACTTTGGACGTGAACTTGAAAGGGTCTATTTTATGTGCACGGACTGCTGTTGAATGCATGAAGAAATACGACATCAGCGGACACATAATTAACATTAACAGGCAAGTGTTCTAGCGCTGCTTTTGTTAGGGCTTGTGTTAGCAAATTCGTCAGGTTAGAACTCACCTTCTCGCCCGGTTAAGTTGGCATAACTCCCTAGATTACCAGCATAGGTGGAAAAAAATATTTAAATAAGTCACGGAGCACAGTATGTTCTATACTGTGCTCAGATGTTACGACAGTAATTCATTGTGATGTAAATATAACTACTAACATAGGTCTAAGTCTTATTAACAATTTATATGAGTCATGGTTACTTGCAATAAAAACATTATTATTATTATTTATTTATATTTATTTAAAATCTTATTAATTACATAATATTTTTTAAAAAGATATTAGAAATTCAATTTTTAAAAAACACTATATAAAAATATTAAATATATTATTATTATTATTATTATACGCGTCGATAAATCGAGCATCGTGTTTTAAGTAACACCCATGTAGTGTCATTGACTCGTGTGCAGTATGTTTAGTTTTATAGGGAGTCACGATAAACTGGCAACGATAGCATGAAAAATAATAGCATGGAAAGAATTGAGATCGGCTTGCTTTTTTTTAATTACAACGTTTTCTCTTTCTTTTACGTCGAGATAAGTTTTATAACTCATGGATCAGTAACCGAGTTTATGGCCAAACAAATCTGAAGCGGCTACATCTGCTCATAGACATCGCAACTTGAATGCAGACCTACCATGAGACGTGATACCGGTACTCTGATATGATGGCATAATTACGTAAACTATAAATCTGTGTGGCTGTGATTTTTATTAAGCTTAAAGGCTTCGTCAAACAGAACGCGTACTTAGCGCGCGTCAGAGCGTTAAACTGATGCGTACTTATGACGCTGGCGCTCTGTTTGATGGTATGTTACCATAGTAGTACAACACATCTCCTCGTCATAGCGCGCCGTCAGTTTAGCGCTCTGACGCGCGCAAATTACGCGTTCTGTTTGACGAAGCCTTTACGCTTGCCTAAGCATGTGTTAATGTTAATTCTCCTCCTTGAGACATTATGTTGAGTTTCCTTTGGTAACACGGTTCACACATTTTTTTTATTGCTTAGACGGGTGGACGAGCTCACAGCCCACCTGGTGTTAAGTGGTTACTGGAGTCCATAGACATCCACAATGTAAATGCGCCACCTACCTTGAGATATAAGTTCTAAGGTCTCAAGTATAGTTACAACGGCTGCCCCACCCTTCAAACCGAAACGCATTACTGCTTCACGGCAGAAACAGGCAGGGTGGTGGTACGGACCCGTGCGGACTCACAAGGGGTCCTACCACCAGTTACTTACCGCAGTTACAGTTACCGCATAGTTGCTCCACGGTTCAAATGCGAATGCGAATTAGCCGATAACGCCCGCTAATATCAACTTACAGTCTGGCAGGCCATTATGTGCCGTTTTCTTCGTCAATGAACCTCTACGCCAGTACAAAGTACGCGATAACCGCCTTCACGGAGACCCTTTCGCAGGAGTTGGCTCATTTCTCCAACAGGATTAAAGTTACGGTAAGTTTAGTTGATTTTTTGCACATATGTGTGTAATATTATCTAGTATAATTTAAATATATGATATGAATTAAATGAATGAGTAATTGAAATGCGATTTTGGGGATTAAATTTGTTTTCACCTACCTAAAACACAAGAAACCCAAACTGACTTTCAAGAAAAGTTTGAGGCAAGAAAAGTTTTGCGGTAGGCAGCGGCTTGGCTCTGTCCCTGGCATTGCTGAAGTCCATGGGCGACGGTAACCACTCACCATCAGGTGGATCGTATGCTCATCTGCCTACAAGGGCAATAAAAAAAAAGATAATGAATCAAAAAAAGCAACCAAAAATTTTCTTGGCACAACCAGTTTCTGTATCTGAGATTTAGGTGCTTTTTAGTGTGATCGTTTTGTTAGTTCTCAAGTAATTGTTGTCATGTATTTTTTAGAGTCTATCGCCAGGGTTGACAAAAACTGAGATGGCAGCGCATATGGATGATGGCCTACCAGGCCTCGCGCCAAGCGAAGTCGCAGATGCGGTCCTGTATGTGTTGTCTACACCACCACATATTAATGTATGTATTTGATTTTTCAATTGCCTTCAAAGGCAGACGAGGGATTTGGGCTACTGGGTAGTGAGTGGCTGTCATCACTCACGGACGTTAGAGACAATAGGAGCACAGCCAAGCCGCAGCCTACTATTCAGAACGTTTTTCAAATCTCGTTTGAAGAAGGAAATGACGTAGGGCTCACAACATGGAGGAGAGCGTATCCCAGATTGTAAAATAATACATTCCCCCGAAACGCATTGAAATCAAATCCAATCAAAAAAAGTTATTCAACATAAATGAAAGTACATAGTTGTTGAACGTCAAAAAGAACTACCGCCAATTCACAAAAACTAGCCTTCGTCCTGAGAAGAACTAGCAAGAAACACAGCGGGCATGTCTTTTTCTTTTTTAAATATTAGACGGTTTTTTTAAATATTAGATTTTTTTTAAATATTCATTTTTACAATGAGTATTATAACGTAACAATTATTGCAATATTGAAATGCCCGGAGCGAGCAACTCATTCCCACTTTGTGCAATCTTCTATTCTATTAGTAGCTATGTAAACTACTCAGATGGGTCGATCATAAAAAGTACCTACCTGAACTTGAACGTTGAGTTGATCAAACTACAACACCTACACATAATTACTTTTCTAGTTGTTTAATAATTTATCTATGTATTTACAGTCATGTACCAAACAGATAGTACAATTTTCACCTCTGTCTCTCAACTAATTTTGAAATAAGTAAATAGTTTTTTCAATTCAAATTCAAATTCAAAATAATTTATTTCAACTTAGATGTCAGTATATAATGTCAAAATAAAAATAACAATGTTAACTCTACCACCGGCTTCAAAAAAAGCCACAGTCCTGAGAAGAACCGGCGAAACAAACTCAACGGGCTTTTTTTTTGTTCTTACTCAATATTTTTTTTAATAATTAAAAATATTTACAATAATCAAAAATACAAGTCAAAAGCATACAATTAAAAAATAATAATAATAATGAAAAATTAAAAGGCCAGGAGCGAACGCCTAATTCCCACGTAGTGCCATCTAGTAAATAAATGTGTCATTAAACAAACAAAAGAGAAAATGTATTAAATAAAATTCATGAAATCTATATCTCTTGCCTCATCAACATAGTATTTCGATAATTGGGCGACACTATTAATTTAGATTCTCATTCTAGAAACGATGTCTGAATGGCATCGAGAATTGAATAAGCCATTTTCTTCAAATCCCATATTCAATCACTAAGAGTACATAAAACGCACATTACTTATACTCGATTGCCTTGAAAGGTAAAACGTGTGCATTGGTTAAGATTTTGTACAATAATTATACATAGCTGTGCATTTCAGTTTTTATTTTTTATTTATTTTTATTGCTTAGATCCAAACTTTGTTTTAATCCTACTAACATTATAAATGGGAGACTTTTTGAGGATGTTATTTTTTATCTAGGCAGATGAGCGTATGGCCCACCTGACGGTGAGTGGTTACTGTCGCCCATGGACTTCAGCAATGCCAGGGGCAGTGCCAAGTCGCTGCTTACCGTTAAATGTAGGTACGTTTGTTACTTTTTAATGTCAAAGCATTAAGTAGATTTTGATGAAACTTTGGACGTAGTTTATAGTATGGATTGAGACATACTTTTATCGTGATGAATAATGTGACTCGGACAACACCGGGTACAATTGTTATAATAAATCCGGCAATTTGTTCGTTGCTACGTGATTTTTCATAACAAGATCTATAATTCGACTGGCACTTAATGGACCAGAGAGTGTCACAAAACTCACAATTTATCCCAAAAATGTAATGTGCCTCCAACGTGCTTTCTGAATTACAAATTTAACGCCAGTGAAGTCTTGGGGCACGCTTAGTTCGTAACTATATTAAATATTCCTGATTTTTCTGGTTATGTGTCTCTCATATGTTCAATTTCTAGAATAAATCTTCAGTCAATCAGTCGGCCACTTGTTATTAAGTGGACCGTGAACTAGTTATCCCAAAGTCATAATAAAATCACTAGAATCAGTCCTTTGTGTAATATAAAAGCTACTCATGGAAGACTGAAAATTAAAGGAATTTTGTCGAGTTTTTGACCGTCAGCAAAAAAGGGAGAGATTATCAATGCGATTTTTTTTATGTGTTTGTTACCTTAGAACTTTTTTCTGGGTGAAGCGAGTTTGATGATTCTTTTTTATTTGAAAGCTGACGGTACCCATATGGGCCCAATTATTATTGAATTTTTTAGTCAGATGTGATTTGGGTCTCCCGGTAGGTAGTTTGGTTATGGATTTTCCATAAATATCACAATGCGATTACAGTCACCTAATTAAATATCAAAATTTCAACTGTAACCATAGATTATACACTTAATATATTTGAGACTGTAACTAATAAATACTTTTAAAATATTACATCGCGAAAAACATTTATGTCAAGTAGCGGTAATTTTAAAATTGAATTCAAACAATGACAATTGAACGCGTAATTTTGTTCCAGATAAGCGAATTAACAATAACATCAGTGTTGGAGAAGAGAATCTAGCGAGTTATATCTTGTTATTCGTAATTAAATCTATGCAAACAATTTTTTGTTGTTATTATGTGTTAAATACTTTAATTAAAAAACTCGTGTCACGATTTTCAAGATAATAAAATTCCCAATACTTTATCGCTTGTGGAAGCGCCATGATAAAGAGTAGACTTCTCCTATTTTCTTCTGCTTCTTCTAGAAATATTCTGTCTCCATTTTTGATACTGTAGATAGTCACAGTATGTTAAACGTTGCATGGAGCATAGCGGTTGCCGATCATGTAAGAGAAAAGGTTCTGGAAGAAGGTTTTGATCCTCAACTATGCGGAGCAAACAAGGTAGTAGACATCTGAACGTATCCCGCTGTGTGCGCTCATGCGTATATTCTTCACTATAATTTTTAAATCATATTTTCAGTTTTTTTTTTTTTTTATTGCTTGAATGGGTGGACGAACTCACAGCCCACCTGGTGTTAAGTGGTTACTAGAGCCCATAGACACCCACAACGTAATTTTTTTTATTTTTTTTTATTGCTTTGATGGGTGGACGAGCCCACCTGTTGTCAAGCGCCACCTACCTTGAGATATAAGTTCTAAGCTCTCAAGTATAGTTACAACGGCTGCCCCACCCTTGAAGCCGAAACGCATTACTGCTTCACGGCAGAAATAGGCAAGGCGGTGGTACCTACCCTTAGAACTTATATCTCAAGGTGGGTGACGTATTTACGTTGTAGATGTCCATGGGCTCCAGTAACCGCTTAACACCAGGTGGGCTGTTAGCTCGACCACCGATCTAAGCAATAAAAAAAAATGTTTCGCTATCCACAATCATATAAGGGACAACTTAACGTTTAATTTTATTAGTTTGGAAAGAAAATGACAAAGTACGAATTCGTGCAATTGTATAATTAAATACCAATGATTGAATAAAGCAACATTCAGATCGAGACGTACTGAGAAATAAAACGTGTTTGTGGTAATGTTTTTGTAAGTGTTTATTCGAACGTAGCATTTCCATTGCACGTTGCAAGGTCGCGATATCTACTGTTGCATTTGTATTCATATCTGCAGTCTATCTCGTGCTTATTGCTCGTGAGAAGAACAGTACTCAAATTACATTCGGAATACAATAAAGGTAGGTTGAAATCAAACATTGTTATCTTACTTTAAATAACTGCTAGAGGATGACATTGCTCGGTTTTTTTTATTTAAAAAAATTGTGTTTTTTAGAAATTATATTTAAATACGAATTAAATATTGATATTATATTATATTATTTGTTATTTTCTTTTAATAAAAATAATAAGTTTATGTTTAAGTTGATTATCGATAAAGTTGATAATTGAAAACACGAATAAAACAACATTTTCTGAAAATAAATAGTAGTAAGATCGATTTATGGGCCCCGAAATCCCCTGTATGCTAAATTTTATGAAGATGTAAGTATGTATGATAACTATAACAATAGAATAGAAAGAATTAATAAATAAAAGATTACTGATTACAAAATTATAATGGATATATAATGTTTTCTTCTGTTTTCGTCGAAAATCGTAGATATAATTATGAATACTATAGTTAAATTAGGAGATCTTTCTTGACAGTATATCAGCACAAATACACAATTAGTCGTCCTTGACTACTAAATCGGGATATTAATCCCGACGTTTTGAATACTCTAGTGTTTTTTTATTAAAAAAAACACAAAACGCGGTATTAAATGAATGAGTAATTGAAATGCCGTTTTAACACCCCTAATCCAATTTATTGTGACATAAGTAAGTATGGCGCTACGAATAATCAACTGATTCACCTGCATTCGGAACAGTGCAAGATGGGACATAGAGTATTTGCGCTCTGTGCATTATAACGGTTAGGTAGGTATATGTGTAGCGGGTGACAGCCACCTTGTCATAGAACCCATTCATTATGTTTGTCAGACGCGAATCTCGCTAACGACATTTTTAAAATTACTTTGGATATAGGTACAATATACAATTCACTCAATTAGCAATTACACTCGCTCGGAAGATCTTCTATTTGTCGTTATTACCGCATATGTGTTTAGCAAAAGAGTTTGTATGTTTTTGTTGTTCTTAATGCAATATAATCTTTATGCTAGCTCACGGATTATTCGACTCTGTGTTCATCGGAGCCGAAAAAATGATTTTATTGTAAAAAAAAAGCGTGGGGTGCTTTTCAGGATATTTATTATCAAAATAACCCTTCTACTCATATCTGTTCATAACATATTTATAACTACTGATACCATGCACCCCTTGCTTTTTTCAAACTTTTTTCAAAAATTCAATTTTATTGAAATTTATTTTCTATTTTTTAGTCGAATTTTCTATAAAAGGGTATTTTGTTATTTTTTTAAACTATTATCTATTTTTCATTTTTTAGTTGGATTTCAATTTTTTTAATATTTTTTTAATATTGAGTTGTCATCGGTCCTTAATAAGTTTACCAAATTTCGAGTTAATCCGACGTTTTAAAGGGGGTAGCCGACTTAACCTAATAGGTTGGCTGGTATGGCTCTAATAAAGAATTAAAAAAAAGGGGGTCAAAATCATGTTCAAAGATTCCGTTACATACTAACATAGTAACATACAGACGTGTGAAGCTAATAAAAGCGTATTAAAAATATGTAATATGATATATAATACGCATATGATATGCAAATGAAATATTTGAGAGAACATTACGAGTGTGATATTTGTTATTGTAAGGAGCATGCAACGTTGGCAAGGCAAGACTGCTGTGATCAGTGGAGCTAGTGCCGGCATTGGCGCCGCCATCAGCGTGGTGTTGGCGGACGCGGGAATGAGGGTCGTCGGTCTAGCGAGGAGACCACAGCTAGTTGACGTGAGTCACGCCACACTCTTGACATTTCAACAGATTCAATCTGCATTTATAATAAAATACGTCAAGGCAAAGCCAAGATTCTACGGGAAAATGATTATGTTAATTTATTTTTTTATTTTTTTATTGCTTAGATGGGTGGACGAGCTCACAGCCCACCTGGTGTCAAGTGGTTACTGGAGCCCATAGACATCTACAACGTACATACCGCCGCCCACCTTAAGATATAAGTTCTAAGGTCTCAGTATAGTTACAACGGCTGCCCCATCCTTCAAACCGAAACGCATTACTGCTTCACGGCAGAAATTGGCAAGGCGGTGGTACCTACCCGTGCGGACTCACAAGATGTCCTACCACCAGTAAAAAAATAGATTTATTTTAATATTAAGGCAATATTGTTATGGACTGATTAGGTAAAGCAAGGTTTTTGAAGTCGTACATGTCATAATATGTTGTTAACATGCTGTCAGTATTGTCAGCTGTGGACGCTTCACCTCAAGTAGATAGTTTAACTTCCGAAATTTTGTATGCATTGTTGTATGTGCCCGATCTGGAATCTGTTAAATGGCGACTGGCACCTTTTTAGAAACCCGTATTTCTGATCATAATTATGCTTCTATATTAGGAGCAGTGCAATGTGCACACTGCCACTTCAAATAATTTTTAAAAAGAATGAAATATAAAACAGCATTTTGATTCTTATCTTATCAAGGACTTAATTATTGCTTAATTGCAGCAATTACAGTCTCAAGTGAGAGGCAACGGTTCGATACACTCGAGGCGATGCGACGTATCGAATTCCGATGATGTGGCAGCGACATTCAAATGGATCGATGAGCAGTTTGGTAACATTCACGCTCTGGTCAACAACGCTGGGATATTTCCAAAGGGACATATCACTGGTCAGTAATGTTGTGTTTTCAAGTGTTGCTTTGTCATGGTATCAGGGGAAATTTTTGTGCCGAGAAAATCGAATCGGCACTAATGAGCCACCAAATCTTGCATCTTTTTTTCCCTCTACCTAATCGCTGGTAGCCTAAGAGGCTATTCCAGCTACGCATAGACGGGTAGGTGAGCTCACGGGCTCAATCTGAGGGAATTAGCTAATACTAGCCCTAGCAAGAGCAGTGCTTCGCAGACTCTACCACCGGATCGAAGTCGGGACCCACAGAGAAGATCCGGCGAGAAAATCAGTGGGCTTTGTCTATGGGTTAGTTCGCTCGTCGAACTCTTCGTCGTAGTCGATGAGTTCGACGAGGACGGTGACCGGTGCTTGAGAAACCTAAAAGCACTGAGGGAATCCGGGGGATCTGACAATACATATCGGGCGACGGCGGATTTGCGTTGCCCCGTCGCGGTCGAATAAGACAAAATCTCGCACCTAGTTAAAGCCCGAACGTGAATTTTCGTTCTGATCCGGTAAGTTCGTCTAACTCTTTGTAATACCTTGTTTGTGAGTCTGGTACAAATGTCGGTATGCGGAGTCTGACTGTTACTCACGGCAATGATATAACTTGGATTTCAATAATTTCTTTCTGATTGCCGTAGTTTACCTAATAGTTATCGAATTGTTGTTTCGAATGTATAAAGAACATAAACTACGATTCTGTAGGAAAAAAACCGTAATTTATGTGGGACTTACCATAGGTTAGGCAAAAAGTAATAGCATTGTTTTTAAACTGATCGCTTCGTAAGATTGTCCTTTTTCAAATCAAATCAAATCAAATCAAATCAAAAAAATTTTATTCAACATAAATGAAAGTACATACTTGTTGAACGTCAAAAAAACTACCGCCAATTCACAAGAACTAGCCTCCGTCCTGAGAAGAATTGGCAAGAAACTCAGCGGGCATGTCTTTTTTTTTTTACATATGAAATTATTATTTATTTATTTTTTAATATTAGATTTTTTTTTAAATATGAATTTTTTACAATGAGTAATATAACGTAACAATTACTACAATATTGAAATGTCTGGAGTGAGCAACTCATTCCCACTTTGTGCAATCTTCTAGGTCTTACTACTCTACTCTTCTAGGTCAATCTTCTTGGTCATGCAAAACAATTTAATGCTCCTTTCAGAAATAGGTGATAACATTCTTTCTGAAGAAACGTTGATGTCAGTAGTGGATATTAATCTAAAAGGACCTGTGATGTGTGCGCGACATGCCGTCGCGTCTATGAAGAGGGCCAGCTTTGATGGACATATTATTAATATAAACAGGTATTTAATTCGTGGTTCTTTTATCTATTTCATCTCGCGAAACGTACTGCAGAGTTTCTTCTTGAAGGTAATCTATTGTAGCGAGACGGAAAAGGTTAAAAGCAATGAAGTAGGAAACCTATGGAAATGAAACGTCAACTAAAATTTCGTGCCGCTGTGACGTCATCTGGCCACAAAACATGGCGGCTTTAGTGCTGTACAAAAGATTTCAATGTTATCAGGTTTTATCGATAAACGTTCTTGGCTCATTTTATTTTAAATATTGTTGAGTATTATTTATTTGTAGAATTTATACTTTAATGGGAAGTANTCCATTGGCAGTCACAAAACTCTTCGGAACGACATCTTAGATAAATAACAGGTTAACTATTAACCTTTATTTAATGCAGGTTTTGAACCGTATTCTTTGAAGGAGACGATTATATTCAAATAAATCTGTATTGACATATCAATAAAAATTTTTTGTCCAAATGTACAGATTGCCGCCTTTGATAATAGACGACTCAATTATTCTATGTAAAACTGTAGTGCAGTGTATATAAGTCATGTAATTTCTAATAAGAGAGGAGTATTAAACCAACACTCGGACAAGACATTTGTTTTCATTCGAACAAGAAACTCCCTTCATGGCGACCCTCTCCCAGGATACGTAAATGTATCGTAGTGTATAACGAAACTGCAAATACGTGATCAATTCAGTTACTTATTTAAGTAAAACATCTTAAGAACACCTTAGCATGTTAAAAACCGTAAGGGGTTAGTCAGTTGTATAATATTGTATATTTCTTACACGACTGTTTCGCTATCCACAATCATATAAGGGGCAATAAGGACAAGGGCGGATCCAGCTTTGGCGCCAGGCCTTTGACCCCCTGGTCACATAGTCGTGGGCAAGTTAAGAACTTATAATTTAATTTTGATAACAATAGATAATAAATAAATCATGATGTTCTTCAATTAGTCCTAGTTAGTTCAAGTCCTGGAACTAGCTCAGGGGGGGGTCATGACCCCCATGACCCACCCCCCTGGATCCGCCGTTGTATAAGGGACAACTTAACGTTTAATTTTATTAGTTTGGAAAGAAAATGACAAAGTACGAATTCGTGCAATTGTATAAATTAAATACCAATGATTGAATAAAGCAACATTCAAATCGAGACGTACTGAGAAATAAAACGTGTTTGTGGTAATGTTTTTGTAAGTGTTTATTCGAACGTAGCATTTCCATTGCACATTGCAAGGTCGCAATATCTACTGTTGATGCAGAGTTGTATCAACAGTAGATATCCCGAGTTGTGCAGACATAGATCTCGTGCTTATTGCTCGTAAGAAGAACAGTACTCAAATTACTTTCGGAATACAATAAAGGTACGTTGAAATCAAACATCTTATCTTAAATAATTAAGTAGGTATGTATGATAACTATAACAATAGAATAGAAAGAATTAATAAATGGAAATGATTAATGGCTTTAATTACAAAATTATAATGGACATAATGTTTTTTTCTGTTTTCTTCGAGAGTCCTAGATATAACTATGACTACTACGGTTAAATTACGTCTTGTATCTGTGGAGATATTTCTTGACAGTATATTAGCACAAATACACAATTAGTCGCTTGGCTGAGCCTTTGCTTTGGCTGAGCCTTTGCTCGCCCACCTGTCCTGGTGAAACTGGAAAGGCCTTCGGGCCACCAGTAAACTTTCAATCATAAAAAAAAAAAAAAACAATTAGTCGTCCGTGACCACGAAATCTAGAGTATTCAAAACGTCAAACGTTTTGAAGTCGTCGTGGCCTAAAGGATAATACGTCCGGTGCATTCGTATCGAGCGATGCACCGGTGTTCGAATCCCGCAGGCGGGTACCAGTTTTTCTAATGAAATACGTACTTAACAAATGTTCACGATTGACTTCCACGGTGAAGGAATAACATCGTGTAATAAAAATCCGTTAAATTATAATTTGCGTAATTACTGGTGGTAGGACCCCTTGTGAGTCCGCACGGGTAGGTACCACCTCCCCGCCTATTTCTGCCGTGAAGCAGTAATGCGTTTCGGTTTGAAGGGTGGGGCAGCCGTTGTGACAATACTGAGACCTTAGAACTATATCTCAAAGTGTGTGGCGCATTTACGTTGTAGACGTCTATGGGCTCCAGTAACCACTTAACACCAGGTGGGCTGTGAGCTCGTCCACACATCTAAGCAATAAAAAAAAACGTCGGGATTAATAAAACGCGCTATTAAATGAATGAGTAATGAAATGCCATTTTTACACCCTTAATTCAATTTATTGTGACTTAATGACAATTACACCCGCTCGGAAGATCTTCTATTTGTCGTTATTACCGCATATGTGTTTAGGAAAAGAGTTTGTATGTTTTTGTATGTTTTTGCTCACGGATTATTCGACTCTGTGTTCATCGGAGCCCATTGATACAACGTGAATGACGGCTTAAGACACAAGATTTAAGCCTTAACGCGTCCGTCCTACCCTTTCGAAATGGTTCACGAAATTTATTTGCGCTAGAAATAGGGATGGTGGTATCAAGCTTGATTTAAAAATAAATAATAGTTTAAAAAAACTAACAAAATACGCTTTTATAGAAAATTCAACTAAAAAATAGAAAATAAATTTGAATTAAAAATAGTGTAAGAAATAATTATTTCATTGTAAAAAAGCGTGGGGTTCTTTTCAGGATATTATTAAAATAACCCTTCTACTCATATCTGTTCATACAATATTAATAACTATGGATACCACGCTTTTAAGTATACCAAATTTCGAGTTAATCCGAAGTTTTGAAGGGGGTCAAAATCATGTTCAAAGATTCCGTTACATAGTCACATACAGACGTGTGAAGCTAATAAAAGCGTATTAAAAATATGTAATATGATATATAAAACGCATATGATATGCAAATGAAATATTTGAGAGAAAATTACGAGTGTGATATTTGTTATTGTCAGGAGCATGCAACGTTGGCAAGGCAAGACTGCTGTGATTAGTGGAGCTAGTGCCGGCATTGGCGCCGCCATCTGCGTGGTGTTGGCGGACGCGGGAATGAGGGTCGTCGGCCTAGCAAGGAGACCACAGCTAGTTGACGTGAGTCACGCCACACTCTTGACATTTCAACAGATTCATTCTGCATTTATAATAAAATACGTCAAGGCAAAGCCAAGATTCTACGGGAAAATGATTATGTTAATTTTTTTATTGCTTAGATGGGTGGACGAGCTCACAGCCCACCTGGTGTCAAGTGGTTACTGGAGCCTATAGACATCTACAACGTACATACCGCCGCCCACCTTAAGATATAAGTTCTAAGGTCTCAGTATAGTTGCAACGGCTGCCTCATCCTTCAAACCGAAACGCATTAATGCTTCACGGCAGAAATAGGCAGGGCGGTGGTACCTACCTACCTACCTGATTTATTAATATTAAGGCAATATTGTTATGGACTGATTAGGTAAAGCAAGGTTTTTGAAGTCGTACATGTCATAACATGTTGTTAACATGCCGTCAGTATTGTCAGCCGTGGACGCTTCACCTCACGTAGAATACTTCTAATACATACTTCCGAAAATTCGTATACATTGTTGTACGTGTCCGATCTGGAATCCGTTAAATGGCGACTGGCACGTTTTTAGAAACCCGTATTTCTGACCATATGCTTCTATTTTAGGAGCAGTGCAATGTGCACACTGCCACTTGAAATCATTTTAAAATCAATATGCACACTGCGACTTCAAATATAATTTTTAAAAAGAATAAAATATAAAACAGCATAATGATTCTTATCTTATCAAGGATTTAATTATTGATTAATTTCAGCAATTACAGTCTCAAGTGAGAGGCAACGGTTCGATACACTCGAGGCGATGTGACGTATCGAATTCCGATGATGTGGCAGCGACATTCAAATGGATCGATGAGCAGTTTGGTAACATTCACGTTCTGGTCAACAACGCTGGGATATTTCCAAAGGGACATATCACTGGTCAGTAATGTTGTGTTTTCGAATGTTGCGTTATCATGGTATCAGGGGAAATTTTTGTGTCGCGAAAATCGAATCGGCACTAATGAGCCACAAAATCTCGCATCTTTTTCTCCCCCTACCTAATCGCTGGTAACCTAAGGGGCTATTCCAGCTACGCCCGGACGTGTAGGTGTGTTCACGGGCTCAACCTGAGGGAATTGGCTAATACTAGCCCTAGCAAGAGCAGTGCTTCGCAGACTCTACCACCGGATCGGAGTCGCGACCCACTGAGAAGATCCGGCGAGAAACTCAGTGGGCTGTGTCTATGGGTTAGATTGCTCGTCCAACTCTTCGTCGTAATCGACGAGTTCGACGAGGACGGTGACCGGTGCTTGAGAAACCTAAAAGCACCGAGGGAATCCGGGGGATCTGACAATACATATCGGGCGACGGTGGATTTGCGTTTCCCCGTCGCGGTCGGATAAGACAAAATCTTCACGATAAGACAAATCGCACCTAGTTAAAGCCCGAATGCAAATTTTCGTTCTGATCCGGTGAATTCGTCTATCTCTTTGTAATACCTTGTTTTTGAGTCTGGTACAAATGTTGGTATGCGGATTCTGACTGTTACTCACGGCAATGATATAACTTGAATTTCAATAATTTCTTTCTGATTGCCGTAGTATACCTAATAGTTATCGAATTGTTGTTTCGAATGTATAAAGAACATAAACTACGATTCTGTAGGGAAAAAATCGTAATTTGTGTGGAACATACCATAGACTAGGCAAAAAGTAATAGCATTGTTTTTAAAGTGATCGCTTCGTAAGATTGTCCTTTTTCAAATCAAATCAAATCAAATCAAAAAAATTTTATTCAACATAAATGAAAGTACATACTTGTTGAACGTCAAAAAAACTACCGCCAATTCACAAGAACTAGCCTCCGTCCTGAGAAGAATTGGCAAGAAACTCAGCGGGCATGTCTTTTTTTTTACATATGAAATTATTATTTAATAGTAATATAACGTAACAATTACTACAATATTGAAATGCCTGGAGCGAGCAACTCATTCCCACTTTGTGCAATCTTCTAGGTCTTACTACTCTACTCTTCTAGGTCAATCTTCTTGGTCATGCAAAACAATTTAATGCTCCTTTCAGAAATAGGTGATAACATTCTTTCTGAAGAAACGTTGATGTCAGTAGTGGATATTAATCTAAAAGGACCTGTGATGTGTGCGCGACATGCCGTCGCGTCTATGAAGAGGGCCAGCTTTGATGGACATATTATTAATATAAACAGGTAATTAAATCGTGGTTCTTTTATCTATTTTATCTCGCGAAACGTAATGCAGTTTCTTCTTGAAGGTAATCAATTGTAGCGAGACGGAAAAGGTAAAGCCGTTGCTATAACAGTTTGACATTTGACAACTTTGACACTGTTGCGTCTAGCCACAGATAATAATTTAAGAACTTAATTTTCCACTGGTTCCAAATCTCAATGCATTCCAGTCTCAATCCGGATTTATACTCTATAGTTCATTAATCTCTTGGCTGTTACGAATACTTCATACTAAGTGATTGTTGATTGTTTCCCTCAACTTTATTTTGTTCCAGTATCGCTGGTCACTATGTTCCGTTTGCAGACATGTTCAACGTATATCCGGGAACAAAGCACGCTATCACCGCTTTCACAGAGACCTTGGCCAACGAGCTAGCGTACTTCAATAGTAAAATCAAAATAACGGTAATTGATATAATTAAAAAAAAAAAAAAAAAGATATATTATTTAATCTATTCTGTTGATGCCTTTAGCTTCAACAGAGTTGGGTGGCGGCTTACTATACCAGAGCCTAACGCCTAAATAACGCGAAACGGGGTCTTATACGCCTCGTCCGAATCTCCGTTGTGTCAGTTTAAGAAAGCCTAGGCTTCTCGATCATGCGGAGTATATAACTTAAATTTGATTTAATGTAGGAAAGAGATGCATATATGTATGTCTAAGACTTCCTATTAAAACATGGGATGTTTAAAGGAGATAAATTTCATTACAATAGTTTTATTACACAATACTTTATTGAAGTGAAATGCAATGTTTGTTATTGAAATGCTTGAAATATAAATATATCCTAACTTTCAAATCATGACTAACTTCAAAGGGGTTGTGTGTAAAAATTGAAAAACTTTAAAAGTGAAAGAATATCGCACTCAGCTTATTAAGGATATTATTAGGAATCGCGGTGATATTTTATATTATAAATCAATTACGAATTTTGTCTCAAAACATTAACCGTTCAAAGTGTTTCATTATAACTAATTACAGAGTTTGTCGCCGGGCCTGGTGGGTACGGATATGGCTCCTCGCGTGGATGGAGAGCTTTCTTTTGCAGCACTATCGCCCCAGGACGTTGCCGAAGCTGTTCTCTATGTATTGTCCACGCCCCCTCATGTTAATGTGAGTCATAAGGTCACAACCTTTGATCGCCTTGTTAGTCTAATAAATAATCCGCTGTTCGATTGCCGGTTGGATTCGAATTATTGTGTAGTAAAAATAAACCCACAAAACTTATGATTTACGTAATTACGGTGGTGGCAGGACATCGCTTTAGAAGGGGCGGCTTTGTCGCTAAAAACCTCTTTCAATACAAAGGATAGTAATTATTTAACAGATTCCAAGAGGCTCTAAATTTGGACTATGTTTTTTTTATCTATCATTCAATTCTATGAGTATTTTTAATGGATGGTTATTATATAAAATTATTCTTAGCTTCCTCCAGACTCCCTGAGAATTCTTTCGAAATTTCTGTAATATTTATTTTCATGCAGGCTGTAACGTAAAAAAAAAATTGTGTCATTGCCATTATAGGCACAAGCACCAGGTGGTAAGTGGTGACCGTTATTTCCATCAATAGTGCTAGCCGTATTGCTGCTTAATCTCACATACTAAAAAAAAATAATGAATAAAAAAATAAAATGTAGCACTTTTTTCCAGATCAAGGAATTAACGATAACACCGGTGTCGGAGAAACGACTTTAATCTCAACGATAATGAGAATCTGTGCGCTTAGTGCAATTTAGTGGCTAGCGGCAAACGTAGGCAAACGTTCCAACTCTATACAAATTTGAGTTAACTTTTACGCTATCGAGAACGTTAATAAACTCGCACTAAGCGCACTACTCTTGGTTCCGTAGCGATGCCGTTTTCAAGAGGAACCAATTGTATGAATCATTTATCGATAATATTAATGAATAAAAATAAACTGATGAATGTACAAGAAATGGATTTTAATGAATTTTTTAAACGTATTTCATAAGGCGTTTAGTAGCCTAGTAAGTTTTTTTAAAAAGGTCTCAAACTTAATTCGAATCCCAATTGATTTTTGTTATAGATAATTTTAATAGTCGTAGTAATCTTTTGAAAGATCTAAATTATTATCGAATTAAGAGATTATTAACTGTGCAATTTAAGGGAGCTTGTTTGTGAGTTTTTGGTACGCAATTAAAAAAAAGAATGCGTTCCAGCTCTTATATTTCGAAATTATCGTGCACACTGTAAAATACTCACAAGCAATTACATAATCTATGATGTCATTTGAGGCTAACGGAACGCTGAGATCAGTGGTCATTTACTAGAACAAAATTATTAGCCAAATATTTCGTGTTTAGTTTAGTTACCAATATTTCGTGTTTAGTTTCTTACTGGTGGTAGGACCTCTTGTGAGTCCGCGCGGGTAGGTACCACCGCCCTGCCTATTTGTGCCGTGAAGCAGAATGCTGAAGCAGAATGCGTTTCGGTTTGAAGGGTGGGGCAGCCGTTGTAACTATACCGAGACCTGAGAACTTATATCTCAAGGTGGGTGGCGCATTTACGTTGTAAATGTCTATGGGCTCCAGTAACCACTTAACATCAGGTGGGCTGTGAGCTCGTCCACCCATATAAGCAAAGCAATAAAAAAATAAAAATTGGGATTCGTCTTTAGTTGAACATGAAAAAACTGTTAGAATTATCAAATATTATTTAATGATTTAAAGCATCCAGCATGAATCATTTCACATTTAAGATTCTTCTTTTTTATTTCTCGTTATTAAGAATTAGGTTCGTTAAATTTTATACCTCTAACAAAATGACAATACTGCAAGAATTAATTTATTAGTAAGCGTAACTATGACGCAGAAGCTTCACTAGATGTAGATGAAGAGAGTCCCAAAATGCTGGTCCCGAAATGCAAGACCGCCTTCAGAATGTCCAGCTTGAGGGTCCACAGTGGTGAAATGCTTGTTTCAGCTCTGGTCTGCAAATGAAAATTTTAAATTAAGTCTCATATAATTTCGGGAATCTGACCGACGTTCATTCCCAAATCGCGCTAAGTCTAACCGGCGCGATTCAAGTGCGAGCGCCTACCTCTTATATGGTGCCATCTAGTGTTTAATTTAATTTGAAATCTTTAAATTACGCCTTATTGCATAATAATTTCTTCACGGTTACCTCAAATAAATGGACAAATAACAATTGAAAATTTTGTGGGCTCCTGCGCTGAAAATATGCACATATAGTTAACTAAAAAAAGGTTCTTTATTTATTCGTGTTTTAAATTTCTTTGTGCATATAATATGTTGTTAATAAAAATGTTTACTTACGCTTTTGCTGAAATATGATAAAATAAATAAAGTTCTAAAATTAATTGGGTTTGTTTATTGTAAAAAAATATACTAGAAAGCTGTCTGTAACAAAAAAAATTAGATATTTGGAAAATCCCCAAATATGATTCAATATGGCTCTATGATGCTTGCATGGCATTTTCAAGAACTGCTACCATCCGAGCTCCCCTTGGACATATCTCCGAGAAGCGATGTGATCAAACTAAGGAGGAAGCCAGCCGAATCCGCCATTAAAGGTTTGTCGCCTTCCTCGGAGCTGGCATCTGGGTCGCCAGCCTAGAAAAAACTTAATTTTGTTTAAATGTTTCGTATGTAAAACAAATCATCTATCTTCTATATATATAAAAATGAATTGCTGTTCGTTAGTCTCGTTAAAACTCAAGAACAGCTGGACCGATTTGGCTAATCTTGATCTTGAATTATTTGTGGAAGTCTAGAGAAGGTTTAAAAAGTAGATAAACATGAAAATGCTCGGAGTTAAATAAAAATAACAATTTTGTTTTTTCTTTGATGTGTCCCCCGTAGGACGGATTCCTTTTGTTTGTTTTAAGTTTATTTTATACAAAAGTTTAGGTCTTTTATTTATCGATTGAGGCTTTACGAATTCTGTCGGGTCAGCTAGTTTTTTATAAAATTTTCTTACTCCGAAACGTTGAACAAATGTGTAATGTAATGTGTAATGCATGCATGTCATCTAAATACTTTTATTAGAATTAAAAAAAAAACTTTGAATTTAAATATTGCTTAAATGTATTAATTTAAATTTACTCGAGAACAAAAATGTTGAAAATCGACATAAGAAGACTATAGTTAATTTTATTTAAGAAGAACAGGCGAAATAAAAACTAGTAAATACTTACAGCACTGGTCCCTTTGACCAGTTTCGAAATAAACTTTCCGAAAAAAGCTCCATTGTTTTGCTGAAATAAGAATTCATGGTACAGATAGACTTTTCGCTAGAAAATGATTACAAATATTGACAGTCAAGTTTTGACCTACCGCACCGCCTCCTGTAATAGTGTCTAACGAAGTCAGCAAATAACTTGCTACTATAGATCCAGGATTTTCTTCTCCTTCGGACTTTGAAAAAAAATATTAAAATTATTAATTAGTTCCCAAAAAAATATATGAAACTTAAGAGGAGCGTTAATTGAAACGTGATACGCATTTTAATTATCAATATCAATCATTAACATGTTATATTATGTCATATTATGTTATATTATGTCATAATAAATATCAATTATTTTAACTATCAACATGAATCACACAATAACTATCAATATCGAAATTAGAATAAGTAGGTACGCCATCTTAAATTTTAATGCCGTACGCACTAGGCTTACTCAGTGAAGCAGATTATTATTAAAATTACGTTAACTTACTAACAGACCAGCAAATAATCCGATTCCGGATGCGATCAGACTGTTTAGGTCGATTCCATCGCCCTGAAAATGTGTTGCTGTGATTAAAACAAAAAAAAACAACTTCTGAATATCAATAGCCAACCTAATAGAACCTTATTAATACTACTTTGACGGTTCAATCTGGCGTTTTATAAAGCTACTAAGTACTTAAAACTTCGAAAATCATATATTTATATATTTTTTATTGCTTAGACGGGTGGACGAGCTCACGGCTCATTTGGTGTTGAATTGTTATCGGAGCCCACAGATATCTACAACGTTAATGCTGTCACACACCCTGAGACACCAGTTTTTAGGTCTCCGTTTTTACAGTACAAAGGATTCACGGCAGAAATAGGCAGGGCGGAGGTACCTACCCGTGCGGACTCACAAGACGTCCTACCATAAACGAGAGATTGCACAGTAAAAGTAGTTTTAACCATTTCAATGATTCGTGAAACCCAATGAAAGTAATTACGCTTCACAATACTTACGCTAAGATTTGCAACAATACCGCTTACTGTTGCTAATAATGTACCTAAATCAGAATCACCGTCCTGCAAACAAAAATCAATATAAGACTAGCTGATCACGTTTTTAACTGAAACTAGATAAAATTATTAAATAATATTAAATTCAAATAATCGTCATTCGTTGCTTGCATTACTTAAAAAAGATTGTTATTTTCGGTATTTAGATATCACGTGAAGTTGCTTGATACTTACTCCACCACTCAAGCCGGCGAGTAAACCTAGGATTCCACCCCCCATTCCATCGCCACCGGGAGGTTCATCAGAATCGTAATCCGAATCGTTTTCATTGCTCACCGAAGCCGAATCCTGTTCATCATTATCACTAGTTCCACTATCTTCAACGCTTTCTTCTGCAGCGTTATCTTCATTGGATCCTGGCATCGATCTAGAATCTGCAGTCGATTCTGAAGTATCCGATTCAGAAGATTCATCTGTTTGAGAACTACTTTCAGATTCTTGAGATTCTTCTTGAGTCTCTTGTCTCCGTAGAGATTGGGTAGATTTGGGTGTTTTTATATCGTCTATTTCAATGATGTTATCCTTGATGTCGTTTCGTCTTAATGGAAATTGGAATGTCGGACGCAAGCCTATTAGCATATCTCTAATCAAGTTCCCAATAATTACCTATAAAACATAATGTTATAAGTATTGTAGTTATTTAAGTTTACACCTATTGTATTACAAGTAATTTTATAAATTTCCAAACTATATCGTCTTTTTGCATTAAAAGTGTACAATTTCCAAAAATATTCGAAATTGAGTTAATATGCGGAATCATTTGGTTCATCAGTATTTTTCTCATAAATACTGTCAAAAGAGCGTAGTTTAGTTTTAGTTTTTTTTTTTTTGTTTACAGTAGTATGTTTTGACTATTATTGACAAAATTAATACATAATTTTATCTGACTTTAAAAGACACGTCATAATGTAAATGGTAAAAAATAAAAAATAAATGTTGCAAAGATGATTAATATAAAAAATATCATATGTTAAACCTTTAAAACCACTCTCCTGTAAAGTTTTGAGATTATACAGTTTTAATGCGAGAAGACGAAATGTTGTTGGCAAAGCTTTATAGATTAAAAGCAGTGAACGATAAAAGAGATGGTGCAAATTTACTTACCTTCAAGGTTTATTCGTTATGTCAGTGCAAAGAAAAAAACAGTGCAATGTAAATAGTAATGCTGGCACTCGGTGACCGTGGTACTCAAAGCGAATATCCGTGAATATAACTACAATATTAAATGTCAGAACAAAGTTACTCGTTACGATAGTGCACTTGCAAAATATAGCGCAAAGCCGATAAAAACCAAAACACACGCCTAAAAATCGATTTGAAATTTGATCCTAAATCTAGATCCTTTAATAGAACACAAAGCTGTATTATGTTAGGAAGTTATACCTCAACCAGACAAGACTCATACTTAGAGAGATGGTCGCATCATTTCATCTATTCTCAAATTGTTTTGTATCTGTGCATAAATTGTGACTGCATTGTAATTGTAACGAATTTCCAGTGAATACTCAGTGTCGTGGTATACTCAAAGCATGTTATTATATTTATGACTAATGTATCTATATATCTATCTATATATATAAAAATGAATGGTGTTCGTTTGTCTCGCTAAAGCTCGAGAACGGCTGGACCGATTTGGCTAATTTTGGTCTTTCATTATTTTTGGAAGTCCAGAGAAGGTTTACAAGGTAGATAAACATGAAAATGCTGGGAATTAAATAAAAATAACAATTTTGTTTTTCCTTTGATGTGTCCCCCGTCGGACGGATTACTTTTGTTTGTTTTAAGCTTATATTATACAAAAGTTTAAGTCTTTTATTTCTCGATTGAGGCACTACAAAGTCTGCCGGGTCAGCTAGTCATATTATATTTATTATTGAGATGGACCATGAAGGTATTTATCAGATAAATAAAAATACAAAATAGCGGTTTAATAAAAGTTACTTACATTAGCAGAACTGGAACCACCTGATCCACTCGAGCCACTCGCACTAGGCAAAAAGGCCGTTGCTAATTTCAGCAAGCTGAATATGTTGCTCCCGCCGGAAGACGCTGAAGTCTGCAATGGATCCGCGAAGTCTTCTTCGAAATCATTGTCGTTGTCATCAAAACTGTCCAGACTCTGGTCTGCTGTTGTTGTTGTGCTTTTCTGTTATAATTAAAATAGAACGGGTTACAATCTAGAAATTGTTAAGAGGATTTTGTACGCAATAAACTCGATGATGACATTTAAACCATAGCTCTCTGAAGTTGTTAAATCAGATGTACGGCGATGAGAAAACCTCTGAATTTCACTCACTTCTTGTATTGAGTTATGTCCCGACACATATTCCAAGTTACGAAGTTCAAGACAAAAAGATTAGCTTGGGTACCATCCTACTTTTCTCTGCCACGAAGCAGTCATTATTCATCTATGAGCTCCGGTATCCACTTGACATGAGGTATGGCTTCAGATCATTTGATTGTATAGCAAAAAAGAACTCACCTGTGTTTCTTTGTTGTTAATTTCGTTGTCAATAACATCTCTCTGTGGCCTCGAGTCGTATGGCACGGAGAACGCGTTAGCGAACAAACTCAGAGCTAGGATCAAGGACAATGTAGAACGCGCCATCGTTTCAACTAGAATGATATAGAACAGTTCAAGCAAATTCATTACCTACCTTTTTATATTGGAGTCATTAACTTAACTTAATGAAGAATGTTGGCGAACATGACGTCGTTATTTCATTCGATAATGAGTGATTGTCGCATACTTTAGCAATTATATTGGTTGGAAATGTAATTATGATGGTGAAATTTGGTGTGATTCATTATTTTTTTGGTTTAAGCTAATTACATTACGCATCAAACGTCTAATGAACGGTTATGTAGGATATTTGTGAATTGTAATGTCTTGGTAGTATGCGATCCGTCGCAAAAAATTGCTTGTGTCGATTTATGTTCTACCAAGTGATTTTTCCTTCTTTCTTTAAGTTAATCGTACAAACGGTGTCCCAGTTTATAAAATTTATATTCAGTATCCATTTAAAATGGACTTGAAATGACAAAGAGCCACGATTTTCTTAATTATTTTTAATTAAAAAAAAATGTTTTTTTTATTTAGGTGTAGACCAGGTCTTATAGTTGCTCAAATAATTGACAGGTTGCTAAGGGAAGAAATAAAGTAGAAATAGGTTTTGCATTAACTTAGCTGATAATGTAAAAAAAAAACGTGTAAACATACCTTGTAACGTAGTGGCGTGTCAATAAACACGGGTCCATTGATCGGATGTAACGTCAATGGGATTGTCTTATAATATTACTAGTTCCTTCCACATAGATATACAGGCTGTTCGTAAAACAAGGAAATGAATTTTGTAAAAAGCATAAAAAATATCAAGTACTTATTTAATGTTGAAAAGTGGACGTGACGTATTTGAGAATAAACAATTAATATTTGTTTGAGGTAAACTTACTAGCATTTTCGTAGTGTACATATTCAATTCACGGCAAAAATGTTTAGCAGATACACTTTTTTAAACTTGGCCAAACACCCTGAGAGCATATTCAAATCAAATCACATCAAATCAAAAATTTTTTATTCAACATAAATGACAGTGCATACTTGTTGAACGTCAAAAGAACTACCGCCAATTCACAAGTACTAGCCTCCGTCCTGAGAAGAATTGGCAAGAAACTCAGCGGGCATGTCTTCTTTTTTTTTTTAAATGTTTTTTGTTTTTATATTAGATTTTTTTTTAAATATTCATTTTTAAAATGAGTATTATAACGGAACAATTATTATAATATTGAAATGCCCGGAGCGAGCCTCATTCCCACTTTGTGCAGTCTTCTATTCCAATTTAAAAAAGTCTCGATCTCTGAGTCGAACGAATTCAGCCAGAATTTGATGGTAAAATAGGTAGGCTATTGCAAATTTTGAAATACTGTCACATATTTTAATATCTAACGGTGGTGGGTTCGTTAGTGCGAACATAACGTCTTTTTGCTATTTAATTACACCCACTAAAACATAGAATAACAATTCTAGGATCTAGAACTTGTTAGAATCTATCTAGATCGAGAATCTTCTTATAAAGCGAGATACTAAATATATTATAATAGAAAACATTTTTGTACTACAGTAACGTAGTGTATTTTAAGAACTAGCTCTCACGTGGTACGTGACTTGAGTTTGGTTCGGAGGAAATCCTTCTACGTTTTAGGATCTGCAGCCGAGGCATGTTGGAGTCGATCAGACTAAAGTCCCATGTCGCGCAACAACACACTTTCGAATCTCTGGACCATTTGTCGTCGGCGCCATGACAGTCAGACTTCTCATTGATCTTGCATTAGGCTTGTCCCTTAGTAATTTCGTAATAGTATAATGTACTTTTTCTATGGTTATTTCATAAGGAATCAATATGATCATTCATGATTTTCAATCCGAATTACTTTCAGGTACCATTGATTTACTGTCTAGGTTGCAATTACAAATTGCTAGCTTCATTTACAAATTGATTTTTTTGCTATGTTAAAAGAAATCTGTTTATGAATCCATAGAGGCCCACTGTTGGACATAAGCCTCTACTAAGGCCCGCCACAACTGCCGGTCCTGCCTTACTTGCATAGGCAATATAGTGCACTGGACCGACGACCTGTTGAAGGTCATGGGAATTCGCTGGATTCAGATGAGAAATTATATCGACGCTTGAAAGGCAAACGTGACTAAGCGACAATAACTGCTTTGTACATAAATGATAGGCAATAAACATATTCGATGCGCAAAAAATATATATTTCTAGGTCTATTAAAATTATTTCAATCCTACAGCTAGATTCGTTAAAATAGAATTTTTTTCAAGTATTTCAGCTTTAAATTAGTCTACTGTAAAGTTCACGCATTGTCGCTTAGTCACGTTTGCCTTTCAAGCGTCGATATGTAAATTAAAGGTAAATCTTGAGGGTAATATCGAATTTGGGTTATTAGGCGAACACATTAGTAATAATAATATAATATTATAAAGAGGAAAGATTTGTTTGTTTGTTTGTTTCGAATAGGCTCCGAAACTACTGGACCGATTTAAAAATTCTTTTTCCATTAGAAGCCGACATTGTCACTGATGAACATTGGCTACTTTTTTTATTTTTTTTTTTATTTTTGTTTTTTGGTTTCATGTGTGTTTTAATGTTTCCGAAGCGAAGCGAGGGCGGGTCGCTAGTTAGTAATAATAGTAAAAAATATATATAATAGAACACGCTGTGTATAGAGGCGTGGTGTCCGTTATCCGGCGGTAAGGACTTGGTGCGTGGAGGTGAACTTGCGTCACGGCTTGCCAAATCGAACGCGTTTCCGTGCCACAGTGTGACGCTGATTGTTGCAGCCGTTGTCTCTTACTATACTTCAGATCTTAAGGATCTTAGGGCCCACCTTATAGGTTCGCCTATGCCTCATAGGTTCCTCAAGGGCTGGTTAATGTCATCTCGTGACAAAATATCGAAATTTCAATTATATTGAATACCTAATGGCCTAATGGCGGCCACATCAAATTGCGTGTTAGATTGGCAGCAGAAATAAATAGGATGTTTCTAGTTACCCGTTCGACTCACAGTACGTCTTATGACCCATAATTACTTGGGCAGAGCATATATATATTAAATATAATGTCTATGCTTAGAGCTCCTAAATAACAAAACCGCTGCCTACTATGATACAAGGTTAAAGTGTCATTTCCGTTTTTAGCAATGTTTACTCTTTAAACCAAAACACATTATAATATATTATATGTATTATATATATGCACATTGCGGCGTCACCAACTGTCAAGATAAGGTTAAAGAAGTTTGCCGGATCTTCTCAGTGGGTCACGATTGTGATCTAGAGGTACCTAGATTCTGCGAAGCATTGCTCTTGCTAGGGCTAGTGTTAGCAAATTCGGTCAGGTTGAGCCAGTGAGCCGTGAGCTACACGTCCGGCCGGGATAACCCATTAGGTTACCAGCGAATAGGTAGGGAAAAAAAAGAATATAGAAGAAGCATAGTGCTTAGGAACCTAGGTATTGAAATATAAGTGAGAAATATAAGTGAGTTGAAGTCGTCGTGGCCTAAGCGATAAGACGTCCGGTGCATTCGTGTTGAAGCGATGCACCGGTGTTCGAATCCCGTGGGTGGGTACCAATTTTTCTAATGAAATACGTACTCGACAAATGTTCATGATTGACTTCCACGGTGAAGGAATAACATCGTGTAATAAAAGTGAAACCCGCAAAATTATAATTTGCGTAATTACCGGTGGTAGGACCTCTTGTGAGTCCGCGCGGGTAGGTACCACCGCCCGACCTATTTCTGCCGTGAAGCAGTAATGCGTTTCGGTTTGAAGGGGGGGCAGCCGTTGTAACTATACTGAGACCTTAGAACTTATATCTCAAGGTGGGTGGCGCATTTACGTTGTAGATGTCTATGGGCTCCTGTAACCACTTAACACCAGGTGGGCTGTGAGCTCGTCCACACATCTAAGCAATAAAAAAAAAACGTGAAGCTATCGAGTTCACTATTTTATTTATTTATTAAATATATTTTCAAAATCGTAACCACATTTCGTCTTCTCGCATTAAAACTGTATAACCTCAAAACTTACTAATTTTACAGGAGAGTGCTTTAAAGGTTTAAGATGTGATATTTTTAATATTAATCTAATCATCTTTGCAACATATATTTTTTATTTTTTACCAGTTACATTATTTGTCTTTTGAAGTAAGATGAAATTATGTATTCATTTTGTTAATAGTAGTAAAAACATAAGTTAACTAAAAAAAACTAAAACTAAACTATGCTCTTTTGACAGTATTTATGAAAAAAATACTGGCGATACCAAATGATTCCGCATATTAACTCAATTTCGAATATTTTTGGAAATTGTACACTTTTAATGCGTAAAGTCGATTTAACGAGTACTTTGTTCTATTAGAAGGGGTTTTGTTTTAAAGGGTAGCCAGGTCTAAGGATGTGGTCTAAAGATGCCTCGTGTCCTCCGATCGACCGATGCCAGTGATGCGACTGCGTCGAGCTCAATTCCTGCAGGCGGGTTCTAAAACAGTGGTCGGCAAACTTCGACCAAAAGAGCTAAATGCAGATAGCACACGTTTCAAATTTACTCAAAGGGGCATTTTTTAAACATATATTTTACCTTGAGATATAAGTTCTAAGGTCTCAGTATAGTTACAACGGCTGCCCCACCCTTCAAACCTAAACGCATTACTGCTTCACGGCAGAAATAGGCGAGTTGGTGATACCTACCAGCCAAGGGCGAATCCAGCTTTGGCACCAGGAGGGGGTCACATAGTCAAATTTAGATGCGTTCGTTCCCAAACGTTTGCCATTATACAAAGTTATTATATTATATTAAATTAATTAAATATTGAAGTTACATAAAATCTGTATGGTGACAAAATATATAAATAAAATCATTATATTCAATTAGTGGTCCACCTAAGTCCTGGAACCAGCTCAGGGGGTGGTCATGACCCCCATGACCCCCTCCCTGGATCCGCCATTGCTACCAGCGTGGACTCACAAGAGGTCCTACCACCAGTAAACCAGTTTCGATAATGTCTCTAACAAGTCGTCTCTAAATCTAAAAAAATCGTCTCTAACTAGGCAAGTTAATAAGTAATATTCCGTGCCTGAACTAAGCATTTCGCGGAAGTTCTGTAGCCGAGGAATCAAAGAGCCGCGGGCTGCCGACCACTGCTCTAAGGGAATATGTACGTTCACGAATAACTTCTACGATGAAGGAATAATGTAATATAAAAACACACATACTGATACAAAAATTATAATTTGTGTATTCACTAGTGGCAGGGAGTCTTGTGATCTACACAGCTACGTATTTCTGGCTATACAATAGGTACCCTGGCTATTTCTGTCGCGAAACAATTATGCGTCCGGTACGCAACGAAACGCGGGAAAGCCCATCATACACTGCTCAATCGAAACTTGGATCTCGTTTCTCGAAGTTTCGTGACGGAGGTCATACTATGATGTCCAGGAGCTCCAGCAACCAATTAACAGTAGGTCAGCTGTAGCTTATTTGCCCGTTTGTACAAAAAATCTAGTTTATTGTTTTTCCTCTGTGTGTGTTGTGTGTGTGAAGAGATTATAGTGGATTACGAGTAAAACAACCAAGATTAAGATACATTCGATTTAATAATAAGAATAAGTACAATTAAACAGTCCGTTACTGTTTGATCCGATTTCATTTGTTGACATCAGTCAAATATGTCATTCTATTTCCCAACTGGAAAGTCAAAAGTATAATACCGTACAGCCTAATATTTTGGGTATTTTAAAAACCATATTAAGCGAAAAAGCCACCGGTATTAGTCGGTCATCGTTCTCGTCGATCCCGTCGCTTGGGACGAAGGGCTTGCGGCGAGTAAATAAACCCACAGACACAGCCCAACATTCGTTTAACCAACCTCATTCATTTTCTAGCCGTATGAGGTGGCGGGAAAATATTATCTATGGACTGTCATAACAAAATAGCAATTTCGTGTACAAAAATCAATTACGCACAGATAAAAATTTTATTAAATACAAAGCTCAATCGGTTCCTACGGAAGCATCGGCCTTTGACGGTTTAAGTTTCTCTAGAAGCGGCACCGCCACTCCGACCAACTCCTCCCAGGCGGCCAGTCTCCGGCACGGCTCGCACTCGCACTCTTCCTCTAGATCTCCCTCTTCAAAGCCCAGGTCTTCTCCTGACAGCACGTCGCTCTCCTCCAGGTGCAGGTCTTGATCAACGCTAATCGCTCGGTAAAACGATTTCGTGTACACCCGTTCGTCCATTTCGTAGTTGTTATTGTCAGTGTCGAACTTAACCTGAAAATTGGATTATTTTTGGACTTTCGCGAATGTTTGTTTGGAAAGAACATTCTCGAATACCTCATTTGCTACATTAATTAAGATTGAAATCGTTGATCGTTAGAATAATATAGTTACGGTGAAATAAGTGCGTATAGTTGTTAGAAACATTATATTATATTTGCTGATTTCATTTGCACACTATAGTCATGAAACTGTTAGGATCATTTTATTTAAATTACCGTACTATAAACATAGTAAAATATTAATAGCAAACTCTATTGAAGTATGATTGAAATATATTCATTTAGAATCACTCCTCAAGCCCATTATTTATGTAAATATTAAAAGTAGGAAATAATAACAGACTAAGACTATTTATTGCCTATATGATTTTTTTTATACCTTAAATAGTTTCATGACTATCCTAAATTTTTTTGACTTCCGCCCTGGCACAAAAGACGCGGGGTGATGCACGCAAAATGGCGAACACACACACTGATTGAGCGGTGGCAGAAGCAAGAGGTGCTTTACGAAGCGTATCGGATAAGGCAATATAGAGAGGTGAAAGACTATTTTCGAAGGACCACTTGAACGGTCGAAGGACTGCTTGATAGGTCGAAGGATCAGTTGAACGGTCGTTTGTACTATTGTCGTCTTATATGAGAACGGTCAATTCGTTCTTTTTTGTCTTTTTGTATCTTTCTTTAAGGTCGTCAAAAAATGTACTGCGTCGCTGCTGGTCACGTACGCCCTCGTTCCATTTCTTTTTGAATTCTTGTTAAGTCTCTGTCTTAGTCTATGTCTATGTCTAGTCATTGTAGGTCTTATGTCCTGTCAAAGAGGTTGCACGCCACGACACTGTGTCTGTGGGTTAGTTTGCTCGTCGAACTCTTCTTCGTAATCGAAGAGTTCGACCGGTGACCGGTGCTTGAGGGTCCTAAAAGCGCCAAGTGATCGTTCTATAAATGTAGGTAGCCCTTACGTGATGTTTGAAGATTGCAGGGTCACTGGCGCGTCGGTTACCCGCCCTGGACGCTTCACAAGCTGCAAACATAGACTCGTCATCTGTAAACAGGGACATTGTCATTATATTCAACCACGTATTTACGGTTTTATTAGCATGGTCTATAATTTCAAATACTCCAGACAACGAAAGACTTAACTGCGTTTTCTGTAATATAAATACGAATTTAATGACATTAAAAAAATAAAACTATAATAAATACATCTAACAAAATCTTCACTCACCTGTACATATAAATACGAAAATAACATTTAAAGCTCTTAATATCTCTATTTAAATTCTTAATTTAAACAAAATTAATAAGTAAGATTAAGTTATTTTTCTTCATTGAATGATATGTGAGTAAACTTGTCTAAGATAAAAAAAAAATAAACTAAAGAGTTTGCTTCTTTACATGTACCACCAGTAATTAAGCAAATTATAATTTTGCGGGTTTGATTCTTATTACATGATGCTATTTCTTCACCGCGGAAGTCAATCGTCAGCATTTATTAATTACGTATTTCAATAGAACAATTGGTATTCGCCTGCGGAATTCGAACACCGTTGCGTGACAAGAAACAAAATATGCACCGGTCTTCTTATCCTTTAGAACACGATGACTTCAAATCGGAATTGCATGAATCATACAAATAAAAATTACAAAAAGACATATTGACCCCGACGTGATTTGAACACGCAACCTTCTGATCTGGAGTCAGACGCGCTACCGTTGCGCCACGGAGTCGACACGTTTATGGAACGAAATTTACAAATATTAGTAGTATGAAAAGAACAAATCTATTTTTAACGAAAATCCTTTTAGGTATTTGGTTTTCTTTGTGTTGTTCATGGGGCTTCGTACTTCAGAGTATATTGTGAAACAATTTATTGAATGTGAACTTGTCACACCAAAAATACATCAAAACCAATAAAAATAATGATATTATGATAAAACACGATAAGATACGATTTCTTTTTCATTGTGTTCGTAATTGTGAGCACCAAAATTTTTTTAGGTCAGAAAACCAAACGAATTTCACCCTTGATTAAAAAAAAATTATAAATTAATTTACAAATGCCCTGTGAAACATTATGTACTTGTTTAGTTCCTCAGTCCGATTCTAGTTTCTTATAATTACAACGCATTTTGTTATTTATTTATAACTTGCTATTGTCTCTTGTACGCACACGCATCGCAGCACGCGATGTAACACAATTAAAATACATCTGACGTAGGGGTCAACGACCTGAGGGAATTGAGTGAACAACGTGAGTTCATGGAAAAAAACAAACTCAAGGGCACAGACATGCCACTACCTTCAAATACGTTAGGTTATCGCTCATCTAAATATTGGGAGTCTCAAATCGTAAAAACATAAAAAAATCATCAGAATTTAAATTTTTGCTAAACTGACCTATTTTTTCCCAAGCTTTTCGCTGGTAACCTAAGGGAATATTCCAGTTTTTACTGGTGGTAGGACCTCTTGTGAGTCCGCACGAGTAGCTACCACCACCCGGCCTATTTCTGCGTGAAGCGGTAATGCGTTTCGGTTTGAAGGGTGGGGCAGCCGTTGTAACTATACTTGAGACCTTAGAACTCCTATCTCAAGGTGGGTGGCCACATTTACGTTGTAGATGTCTATGGGCTCCGGTAACCACTTAACATCAGTTGGGCCGTAAGATCGTCCACCAATCTAAGCATTAAAAAAAGTTTTAAAACAAAAGGAAGGATAAAAACCATTAGGATTTTTCCTACATTTGTTTCATGTTTGTTGGTCGTCTCCTAGGTGATTTACAAGCCTTCAGAACAAGCTTTAGTGGGCCGTGAGTTAGTCCACCAATCTAAGCAATAAAAAAATAAATAATACGACGCTTGAAAGGCAAACGTGACTAAGCGACAATGCGTGAACTTTACAGTAGACTAATTTAAAGTTGATATACCTGAAAAAAATTCTATTTTAACGAATCTAGCTGTAGGATTGAAATGATTTTAACAGACCTAGAAATATTTTTTTTTTGCGCTTCGAATATGGTTATTGCCTATCATTTATGTACAAAGCAGCTATTGTCGCTTAGTCACGTTTGCCTTTCAAGCGTAGTTACGTTAAAACTGACCTAGGAAACTGTTGAGCGCGATCGCCGCGGTCGAGGCGTGCTCGGCTTGCAGCGGGGCGTGTGCGTGCGCGTTCCACAGCGCGCGTGCGAGCAGCGCGGCCGAGCGCACGTCACGCACGCGCGCCGCGACCCGCAGCGCCCGCGCCGCTTCCACCCCCGCCCGCGCCACCTCCGCCCCCGACCCGCACACGTTGACCAGAACACCCGCCGCCGCACAACGGACGCTACTCTCCTCTAAAGGCGAATTTACATTACGAAATTAGTGGCATGAAATTAATTTCGTGACATTACTTTTACCAACAGTTTCACGTGTAATTTAATACTTTCGTAATGCATGCATTAATTTCATGCATGCAAACTAGTTTCGTGCCCTGCGCGATTTTTTGGTGAAATTAGTGTCATGCAACTAATTTCATAGTGTAGACGCGACGTGAAACTAATGTCGCGAAAGGGCCTGCGCTGTGCGGACGTGTTTATTGTTAGTTCGGACGCGCTTCAAGCGTTGAAAATGGCAAACCAATGATGGAGTACAGAAAAAAATATAGATCTTATTAATGAATATCAGCGACAAGGGTGTCTCTGGGACCCGAAACACCTACAGTAAAAAAATCAAAATTATCTTCACTCATTCGAAAATTGTTTTTATAACTCTCAGGATCTTCATCTGCTAATTCAGAGACTTTTTTTTTATTGCCTTTGTAGGCAGACGGGCATACGGCCGTGTGAGCGGTTATCGCCGCCCATGGACTTCAGCAATGCCAGGAGCAGAGCCAAGCCGCTGCCTACTTCATTGCACCTAAATGCCTTCTTGTTGACCAGCCTCGAATCTACCAACGTCTTTTTTTTCTTGATAGTCTTTTTTTAAGTCTTTAGCTACATTGACATACTAAACTTCCTTTTGACTTTTCTCATGGTGGTTTTCTTGGGAAAAATAGTAACGGTAGCTTCCCATTCCTTTCCGTCCCAGAACTTTTAACTTTTTTCTTTTGCGCCATTAAGCAGGCCGAATGCAGGCAGCATTGGAGGAAGCTGGTGCAAAAACTGGACCAAGGTGGTCACGACCCTCAGCAATGAGGAAACGACAAAGAAGAAGAAGAAGAAGCTACATTGAATATAGCAAATTATAGCTTTGATGCTGAAGGCGCCATGGTTACTGCGATACTGTGGATTTCGCGACACTAATTTTTTAACGAAATTACTTTCGCATATGTCGAAACTACTTTCGTGAAACTGAGCTCAACATGCATGACACTAATTTCGTAATGTAAACTCCGCATAAGATTATATCGAAGCGTGAAATATTATTTAGTTTTAAGCAACATTTTTGCAACTATACATGAGAGGTATTCAATGTTTAAAATTTCGAAAATAAAACATAACAAATAAACTTCTTCAGCTATTTCAATGGAATAAATATTATCGAAGTTCAATTAAAAACTTGTGTTAATGTTTAATACTAAAAAAAATTCACCTTTAATTACAAAGATAAAGTATTAAGCGAAATGTCGCTTAGTACCATCATAAGTAGCTGTAGCAGTAGTTGATACTTTAGACATCGTTCGGGCAGTTGTTAGTAAATGCTCACATTCGAGTTGCGTTCTCGAGTTCGTCCCGGTTATAGAGCAAAACCAAATACAATCATTCGATAAAAAAAAAACGTGTCTGTCCTACTTTTCGAAGTCATTCTCTGTGGCAAGCATTTAGCACTAGTACAAGTAATAGCCAATAGTGATTACCGTGGCCGGTGGTAGATTCAGCAAAAGCACTGCTCTTGTTAAGGTCAGTGTTAACAACACTCCCGGTTTGAGCCCCGTTAGCTCATCTACTCGCCTGGTTACTCAGACATAGCCTCTCAAGGCTATTAGCTGTAGGATATTTTTTTACCATGGTTTAGGTACGGCGGCAAAAGCTCCAAGGCTCCGTGCAGCACGATGAGCTGTGCTGCGCGCGCGTCCCGCGACAAGTTGCCGAGCGCGCGCACCGCCTCGCACGAGGACGCCGCGTCACGTCCCAGCCGCGCGCACGTCACTACACAGACCCGCGCACGCGCACAAGCGTCAGTCCAGTTCGCTTGTGCGACAAATAAACCTATGTAAATCTTGACCGCTACGCTTTGATAGATTTATTTTATTTTATTTTTTTATTGCTTAGATGGGTGGACGAGTTCACAGCCCATCTGGTGTTGATTGGTTACTGGAGTCCATAGACATCTACGACGTAAATGCGCCACCCACCTTGAGATATAAGGTCTAAGGTCTCAAGTATAGTTACAACGGCTGCCTTACCCTTCAAACCGAAACGCATTACTGCTTCACGGCAGAAATAGGTAGGGTGGTGGTACCTACCCGTGCAGACTCACAACACGTCCTACCACCATTAAAGGGGAACTTTGCGCGAATCCCATAGCTTAAGACGTGAAAGCCCTGGAGTAGCGGAAGCTGGTTACCAAAATTGCAGTTTATGTAAAGAGTCGGAAGTTTTTTTGTTTTTTCGATTGTACTTCCGTCATCAGGCGAGCCGTTCAGTCCACAGTGGTCTAGTTATGTCTCAGGCTGCGTCAAAATATGGTACAAGCAAAATAAGCCCGATAATGGGGATCCGTCTTAATCGTTGACTTAGAAGTATAATGGATTTGAAGGCTCGTCTCACCTTTACAGATGTTCTCGAGCGTATTGTAGAGAGGATCAGGAGCGTCGGGAGGTTCGCTGTAGAAGGTGATATTGTTGAGAGTGGCCAACGCTGCCGTCGATAGCTCCTCGTATTTCTCAAAGACTTGATGTACTTTTATATCCTGTGTTAAGAGAGAATGAGGGCTAACCTAAAAGATTATGTGCTTGACAACCACGCGCTTTTTAACTTAGTAATAGACACCCCTCTACGATGTTTTCAGATCGCTATGACGTGTCCTTCACATGGCTATGACATTTCTTATGTCCATACGTAATTTAACTTAACTGACTTAAAACATTTAATCATAATTGCGATGACCATTCAGCATTAGGTAAGCCGTGCAGTCACACAAAAACGACTTGATCAGATTTTTTTTTAAATGTTGTTGCGCACGTGGAAACACCAGGTTTAAAAAAAATAATGAATAAAAGAATCATCAAAATCGATTAACCAAGAACCAAGTTGTGACGCACACAAAAAAGACACAATCGAATTGAAAGAGACGTCCCCTCTTTTTTTGAAGTCGATCAGTGGTAGCTGTGTGAACTCACGTCGTCTTCAGCGTCGGGTCGTTTATCTTCGGCCAGTTTCAAACACGCGAGTAGTGCCTTCGTGATCCGCTCTATATACGTCGTAGCCAAGCCGCGGCCGGCGCGCTCCGTTAGGCACAGATTAGCTATGATACGCACGGTCTGAAAGTTTTTTTTATGATTGAATGGCTACTTGTGGCCTGGAGGCCTTTCCAGTTTCACCAGGACAGGTAGACGAGCAAAAGCCCAGCCAGGAGAGGTGGGATTTTCTAACAGCTGCTCGATCTCCTCCGAAGGAGACCTAGCAACTCAAGAGCACCTGCTTCGCGAATAAATCTACTACTGGAATCGCGACCCGCTGAGAAGATCTGGTGAGAAACTCAGCGGGCTGATGCATGGGTTAGGTTGCACGTCGAACTCTTTGTCTAGTTCGACGAGTACGGTTACCGGGGTCCCTAAGTTTGCTCCTAGTGTTAGAGCTGAAGGCGTCTAATTCAAAAGTTATTGAATCTGTTGGATCTGTAAGGACGTAATTACAGCGATGTCGTTAACCCTTTGACTGTCATGTAGATCACCAGTCCCTACGCGGCGCACAGACGTAATTACGTTGATTTCTGTTACTAAACGCCTGGATTGCTTAACTTTGCCTTCTTTTGTTTGTTAATGTATGTCATAGTCTTTTTGGTCTCTTAGAAACAGATTCATTCTCAGTATCTTCGGATTCGTTTTTTCCAGTTTTATTTATTTATTTTTATAGCTTAGATGATTAGACGAGCTCATAGCCCACCTGGTGTGAAGTGGTTACTGGAGCCCATAAACATCTACAACGTAAATGCGCCACCCACCTTGAGATATAAGTTCTAAGCTCTCAAGTATATTTACAACGGCTGCCCCACCCTTCAAACCGAAACGCATTACTGCTTCACGGCAGAAATAGGCAGGGTGGTGGTACCTACTCGCGTGGACTTACAAGAAGTCCTACCACCAGTAATTACGCAAATTATAATTTTGCGGGTTTGATTTTTATAACACGATGTTATTCATTCACCGTGGAAGTCAATCATGAACATTTGTTAAGTACGTATTTCATTAGAAAAACTGGTACCCGCCTGCGGGATTCGAACACCGGTGCATCGCTCAACACTAATGCACCGGACGTGTTATCGTTTAGGCCACGACGACTTCGTCTGTTAACAAGGTCAATAAAGACAGTTGCAGCCTTATTCGACCCCAAACACCTCGAGTTTTCCCTTCCACTTCGCTACCTTATCACATATTCAATGTTCCATTTTGACATGGACCAGGTGAAGAATACCAATGTCAAATGTATTTAATTTAAAATAAAATAAATAAAGTTAAGATTTACATATAAAAAAAGCTCACTTTGATGAGGACATCTTCGTTTGAACCGTCCGATCCACAGAGATCTGTTTCTACAAAAAAAAAAAAAAAAAATTTCAATTAATCTTGAAAATGGTATAAAATTAAATAAACATAGTACATAAAAAAATCCTTATTTTTTACTAAACAATTAAAAAAAACCTTTATAAATAAATCAACGTTTTTGCAGCAACAGTGGCCTACTTTTAATGATTGAAGTACAAGACTGAAAACTTGAAGTAGCTGTAGCCTAAAAGATAAGAAGCCCGGTGTATTCGCATCAAGTGTTGCGACTGTGCCGGTGTTCGAATCCCGGAGGCGGGAATAAAAAATTGTACGGGGTAACATTTTTTTTTATTGCTTAGATGGGTGGACGAACTCACAGCCCACCTTAAGTGGTTACTTGAGCCCATAGACATCGTAAATATGCCACCCACCTTGAGATATAAGTTCTAAGGTCTCAGTATAGTTACAACGGCTGCCCCACCCTTCAAACCGAAACGCATTACTGCTTCACGACAGAAATAAGCAAGGTGGTGTACCAACCCGTGCGTACTCACAAGAGTTCCTATCACCAGTAAGCATAAACAGCGTAAATGTATATATTTAATAACATTAATTGTCGTCTCTCAAACATGTCGCGGCACAGGGGTTGAGAATCACTGGCTTATATCGAAGGGTGAAAGGCTATTTGGTTAAAGCGACATTTTTGCAACTATACAGGAGAGGTATTCAAAAGTTTTCATTTGGAATATCATAACAAAAAAAAAACTTTCCCAACTATTTGCATGGAGTAAACTTAATTGAAGTTCAATTAAAAACATCGAAATTTTGATGCTAATACCAAAAAAAGAAACATATCTTTAATTACAAAGATAAATGTCGCGTATTAAACGAAATGTCGCTTAAACCAAACACGCTTTCAGCCCTCGACATGTATTATTGTGGCGTATTTATCTATGATATCAAATTATTCAGGCCTCAAACATACCAACGAGATGGAGATCGGGATCATCGAAATCTCTAACGTCTGTTTGGTGCCGCGTCGTGTACGACTCCAAGATCGTAAGTAGAACATCTATACTGCCTTCCTCGTCATATATCTGTAGGATTGATAAGAACGGAACGTATGAAAATGATGTGAAACGAAACGTTATGACGTGAGTGAGAGAAAACGTTAAGAAAGGGAAAAGATAATGACAGATAGAAGCAAGATGGCGAAGACGATCGAATGAGCAGGGCGAAAAAAAAAGGTGTCAGTTATTTTTTAATTATCATAATAGAAAAGATTTGAGAAGAAAACAATAAAAATGCAACAATGGAATAGTCTTATTTTATGCACCAGGATCCTAATTGTATAAATCTAATTAAAATAACATAATACAATGACAACTTCTTCAACTATATGCAGCAAACCCGTGGTGTGACAATGAAGAAAAGTATTCAAATAACCGAACTGAATTAGATTCCGAATTAGTTTAAGATTTTGTTTCTCTAAACTGACGTTTTAATTTGATCAACGCTTATTTCTATACTCTACTATTAAATTTTTAAATATTTATTACATTCATTGTATTTCTTACGCAAAACGTTCCAGCTAAACTTTTAGAGGCAGGTACTTGCATTAATTCTAGCACGTTCGTCGGCGGCGGCCATGTTGCCGAGCGTGTAAGCGAGACGCACGGCCAATGGCGGCCGCGCGGCGCACGCGGCGAGCGCACGCAGCAGCGCGCGGGCGCTGTGCGGCGCGGAGCACAGCCAGCCACAGCACGAACACTCGGCCGACAGAACGCTGTGTGAATATCTTGCCTTAATTGACGCGGTAACAACTAAAGCGTTAGCTTTTATCAGTCCGATAAACCGTGTAAATGATGTTAGTGCAAAAACACGTAAAGGACACCGAGTAAAAAAAATTTTTTTTTATCCGGGCATGTATAGTCGCTTACAGCTCACCTGATGGTGAGTGGTTACCGTCGCCCATGGACTTTAGCAATGTCAGGGGCAGAGCAAAGCCGCTGCCTACCGTCAATATAAGTTCATAGATATTTTTAATGAAGAGAATGAGTTTTAAATCTCGGTTGTATATTACAACGGCTACTCTACCCGTCACATTGCATTACTTCTTCGCGGCAAAAATAGACAGGGCAGTGGTACCACCTACTAGAGCGGGCTCGCAAGATGCTGTACCGCTGGTAATCAGTCAAAACTGCACATATTATTTGGTTTTAACGTTCATAATGTTACCTGAGACAACGAGCCACATTCGTGAGCACATCTCTGTCGGTGTGCAGTAGCAGAGCGGCGAGCAGTTCGGCGAGCGCACCGCTCGGGACGAATTCGCGCTCGTCGGCCGCCGCGAGGTTACGCATCGCTCCCGTCACTTGGAACAGCGCGTGCGTGGATTGTTCCGACAACGACCGTGGACTCTCAGATTTCTGAAACACGAATCAATTTACTTCCTACCTAAGTTAATAGCCTTGAGAGGCTATTTCAGCGTAACCTTAACTAGTAGGTGAGCTCAGGGGGCTCAAACCTGACACCGTTGCTAACACGAACCCTAGCAAGAGCCGTGCTTCGCAGAATCTACCACCGGATCGGAAACGCGACCCACTGAGAAGATCCGGCGAGAAGCTCAGTGGGCTGTGTCTGAGGGTTAATTTACTCGTCGAGCCGTTCGTCGCAAGCGACGGGTTCGACGAGAACGATGACCGGTGCTTGAAGTACCTAAAAGCACCGTTAGTGGATCGGGAGGATCCGAAATGACGTGTTTTGGGCGACGTCGAAATATATCGAGCGGTGAAAAGCTATAGATATAGTGAGAAAAGATTTTCCTTCGTAATATTTCGAAAAAAGTTCGTATTTTATCTTGCTCTCTCAAATTTTAATAGCTTCAGTACCCATCTTAGATCCGTAGGGGTAAGTCGCATTAGCAGACTAATATATATATAGAGTGGATAATACGCAATTCAAATATTCGCTATAGTTATTATACAATGACATTATTCATTTTGACATTTGACACTGAACAATAAAGTTTCATAATAATGGACATGAAAATGTCACTCATTAAATACGATCATTCATTGACAGTTCGGGTATCATCGTATTCCGTTATAGATCCGAGCTTTCCCGAATTAAAATAGTTTCTCGCTACATCTATATTTGATTTAAGCGACATTTCGCTTAATACGCGAATCTATCTGTAATTAAAAGTCCGTTTTATTTGATATTAGTATCAACAATTCGATTTTTTAAATTGAATTTCAATGAAGTTTACCCCATTTGAATAGCTGAAGAAGTTTTGTTTAATGATATTTTTTCGAAAATTTAAATCTTAAATGGGACGCCTGTAAAGTTGCAAAAATGGAGCTTAAGCCAGTTAGTTAGCGTTTCAACTCACAATATAATAAAAAAGTAGTAAGTATTTTCAAAAAATACTTCTTCAATCAAAGTTTAAAAAGGGAACAGCGGTATCGGCGGCATATCTGTGCCCTCCAAATTCAAATACCAATGAACAAGGTTGATTACTAATCATTAGATTGACGTTCATCTGCATAATCCATAAATAAGTGTATAGTCTGTTCTGAAACAGTACAGGTTGAAATCTACTTGTAATCTGTATTCTAAAAAAAGGAAACATTATAATTATGATGCTATAAAACGCGTGCTGTGAGTGTGCATGAGACGAGACCATCTCAAGACCACCTCAACCCACATAGTCTGGTTTGATGGCCGTCAAAATTAATTATGTATACATTAATCAAGTAGCCCACCTTGTTTTCCAGTTTACTAGAAAATACTACAAACGTTTAATAATCAAAGAATAAAACCGACTTCAACAAAGTAAAACGCGAATATCATCAATGTAGTGGAAGCTATTAAAAAAAATCATTAAGATAACTCAAAAATTATTGATAAAGTCTGGATAAAATTCAAATAGAATAAGAATCGAATTAGAACTCGAATTAAGAACATCTTTTTTTTTTAAAAAGACGGTTATAATGTGTTTTATTACAGCATTGTTCAGTATCTTCAGATGTAGGGCAGCCAGATGTAGGGCTCCGGCCCGCAAAGCGCGCGTCGCGAGCGTCGGCACCAGCGAGAGCACCCGCAGCGCCCCCGCCCCGTACACACAGCACTCCGCCTCGCGGACCGGCTCCGCTCGACCCCACCCCTCAACGCACAGCTCTAAACATTGTACGACGAACTCAAAAACTGAACTTGACTTAATGGTCTTAGTTACCGGGTCATAAAATCCCTTTAAAAAAAAATCAAAACCTGAAGAGACATTGTTCGTTTATCACAATCCGAAAATCTAATCACAGAGACGAAAGCAAATTCCACCTCTATTACATTATTAGAAAAGCTATAATTTCGCTTCCACGTTCAGAGGAATGCTTCGTAGTAAAACTTGGCAGAAAAGTGGTATGTCATTTGTGGAGTGAATGCCCTATCGCTAATACTTAAGAACTATAGTGATTTAGGTAATGAGGTACAAATATAGAACAGGGTACCTACTACAGACGGATGCTAGGGATGAGGTAGCTGCATTCGCGAATCTTAGTCTTACTAATATTGGCCCATGAGAACTAATGAGGTTATTTCCACTTTCTAAGCACTAAAGTTTTCTCACTAATTCATGTTCTGCTTCATAGAAAATTGATACCGAGAGAATAAAAGAAGGCGTCGATTGCTACTGTATAGATCAACGTATATTAAATCAAAATACAACATAATTGCGTGTTATAATATTCTGTTTTAAGTTCATTGCAAATCTCATCTTCCATCCCCTGCTAATAGATAGATATAAAAATAGAAGTTATTAAATAAACGATTATTATTATTATATAAACATACACTGTTAAAAGAGGAAATAATATGGAAGGAAATTAAGTTTTTTATTTTTATTTCAATCAATTGGTATGAAAATGTTTCAATCAAATTATGTCGTGGAATGAAATAATATCCTAGTATTACGTTGTGAATTTAGTGAGACTTCAGTGGACTTTTATGAAGTATGAAGAATTAAAAAGCCAAGTCCAGCAATTTTGTCGTATTTTCCCATTGATATGCCACCATTATTACACTTTTTTAACCCTAAAATATTTAAATAGCTTTGCATCATTTCGCTTTTTGAGTTACCGCCAAAAAATCCAAGTAACATGCTGTCACACGAGATGTCAGTTCCACAGACTTGACAATATCGACATAGACAATATCGCCTTCAGTTATTCGAACAGTCACAAGCACAGACAGCGCGTCTTTAGCATAGAATTTTCCAACTTACCGAGTAAATTAGTGTCGTGAAAGAAGTGATCGTTATTATCGTTCTTCGCTATCTTGAAGACCAATTTGCATGCGGCCGCCAAATGACTTCCAGTTACACGCATCTAGAACATAAAGTACTAGATGTGACGCGTGGCAACGAGCGCTCTACATTTTCATTTCTATTATTAAATTGGCTTTTCTCCGATTAACTAAAATCAATCAAATCAAATTTCAAAGCGAAAAAAGTAGCAGTGTTCCCTGTACTAACACGTGTTAAGTAATATAAGTATGTTATTTTAAGTATGTTATTTACAATAAATCAAACAAATTTATTTACAATCATTAATTTGAAATCTACGACCGCCATTTTTAAACGGCTGAAAAAAATTGAAAAAAAAAGAATGCTAATAACACTTTTTTTACGAGTGTACAAACGCGAAAGTTCACCTGCGGCTATATTCATTCTGTTAATTTTGTGTCACGGTGCGCGCGCATCGTGAAATTTCACTCTCATCAATTTTTCATAACGCGCCTAAAGAAGTATAACTTCAAAAAAAAATCGAGCATCTTTGCAATGGGCCTTTGCGAAACTTCGACTAATAGAGTTTATTATTGGGTTTGTTCTGCCGCTATTATAGATATTCGTTTCGGCTTAAGGAATGGGACAAGCGTCATAGCCGACTTCGATCACATGGACATGGATTAGCCTGAACTTTGACCTGCAATTTGAAATTTTTTTTGAATACATCTATTTAACATACCGTGAGCATAGCTCTAGCGATCGCCACAAGAACCTGTTCATCTTCACTATCGATATGAGTATACAGTGAGCGCAGCACTAATTCCCGTAGACTAGTTGCGGGTACATTGATATCCACCAGTTTCTGTACCGCTTCAATGAGAGCGAGTGTGCGACTCGTGCCACACCCGCGATTGGATAACGCTTCGGAGAGCTCCAGGAGACTCATACTGTCCAAACATTTTAATGTTAATTTTAATTCAGTCAGATTATGAAAAAAAATGTATTGAAAACCTAGCGATTAGCGACCTTAATTTTCGCTTCACAGGGTCCTGATTCGGTCACCGTTCAGAAGCCGCATCTATGTTAAAAGATATCGTGGTCTTGGTGTATCTTGTACATCGGAATGTATGATTTAAGTGCTCATGTAACAGCAGGAATTGAATTAGGCTCGTTAAATTTGATAGTTTTGCTTTGAATACGCACTTTTCTATTCGATATGCGTCCATGTAGTTTGTCTTGATGTAATGAGATTTGAGATCTCCTATTTTGGACGGGCTTAGAGTATCCATATCACACAGTCTATCACTCAATGGGTTCTTACCACGATTTTCAACACTTATTGAGTTGGTTCTCGACATGAGAGCGCGTGAGCGACCACGGCGCTTGCAACAGCTACGAAATATCAAGAATTTGTTAGATTTGAAAATCGTGGCAGAATTAATATTGGGTGTACTATCGACAAGACTGATATTATTTTTGTTAATACAGAGGCTCTCAAACTTTTCCGTTGGATAACTGTAGATCAACTTCGATAATTTTCATCGACATAGACACACTTCAACGAGAAGTCGTCATACTACGATAAACACAATAAAGTAGGTAATATTATAATATAGTAACTTATGGGCATCTTAATTTTTTTAATTGACAGCACTGAATACACTGCCTTAAATGAATACAATCTCTTTATCTAATGGAATTTCGCTAATTACGTGGTAGGTGACCTCCAGATTAAACCTATTTTGTCAATCACTAAGATTTGAGAAATGTTTTCACCAAAATCCTAGTTTCCTACGTAAGATAGTAAATACAAAAACCTAGATTCTCACTTGTCGAAGTTGTCGGAAGAAGTGGTAGGCATCTGGACAGCTAAATGTTTGACGGCAATATTACCGAGAGCACCGGCGGGGACGCCGTCCTGGGAGGAAGACTTGGTCGAGATCAACTTAGGACGCGTATTGGTGTCGGGACCGAGGGCTGCAGCAAACGAGAAAACGACGCTTTTAACTACATCAATTTATTTCGAAACCATCCCAGAATAACACAAAAAATCAAGAAGATTACGATTCAAGATTTGGCATTGACATTTTTTCCCTCCATATTGCTAGTAACCATGAGGGGTTATGCTAGTTTCATCAGACGTTATTGAAATAATTTTTATTTCTTTCAAATAAGACCATACAAACTGCAGAAATAGGCGAGCCCGTCCTACAATCAGCTTATACGATAGTAAATTCTCCTGATTTCCATCGCACGACGTAACCGTGCAACACATTTTAAATAGTCAATCGTGGAATACATTTTAGATATTTGCTAATGTAAGTTTCGATTAAAAACAAGAAACAAAAAAATTGCGCTTGCAACTTGGTGCACGTGAATGAAGTGAAACTTCTTTTTCGATGTGTGTATTATTGTGGTTTTCTTCATTTTTCATCCTTAAATCAAATTGCTCTTGTAATAAGGAATGCTGTATATAAGAGATGCGACATCTTCAACATTTATGTTATATATATGTCGTGGATAGCGACTTGTAGTTGTCGTGGATAACGACTTTTAGTAATATTAAGACGGTGGTTTTGATTATTATTTTAAATGATGAAATGTTGTTTTGTTAGATATCACAAAATGACGGGTAGACTCCGTAACGCCACAGTATAAAATGGCGGTACGTGGACAGAGTCGTGGCATTCCGTGTCAGACAGTAATTCTGTCNGGAGAGTTGCTAACACTGACCCTAGCAAGAGCAGTGCTTCGCAGAATCTACCACCGGATCGGAAACGCGACCCACTGAGAAGATCCGGCGAGAAACTCAGTGGGCTGTGTCTATGGGTTAGTTCGCTCGTCGAGCCCTTCGTCGCAAGCGACGGGTTCGACGAGGACGGTGACCGGTGCTTGTGGTGCCTAAGAGCACCTGATTGAAGTACAAAATTGAAAACTTGAAGTCGTCGTGGCCTAAAAGATAAGAAGCCCGGTGTATTCGCATCAAGTGTTGCGGCTGTACCGGTGTTCGAATCACGGAGGGAAGAATAAAAAATTGTACAAGAAATCATTTTTCTTATTGCTTAGATGGGTGGACGAATTCACAGTGGGGCAGCCGCACTTACTTTGTAGATGTCTATGAAGACATCTACAAAGTAAATGCGCCACCCACCTTGAGATATAAGTTCTAAGGTCTCAGTATAGTTATGGCTGCCCCATCCCTCAAACCGAAACGCATTACTGCTTCACGGCAGAAATAGGCAGGGCGGTGGTATCTACCCGTGCGGACTCACAAGAGGTCCTACCACCAGTAAGCATAAACAGCGTAAATGTACATTGATAACATTAATTGTTGGCACTCAAATATGTCGCGGCACAGGGGTTGATAATCACTGGCTTATACCGAGGGGTGAAAGGCTATTATTATGGTTAAAGCGACATTTTTGCAACTATACAGGAGAGGTATTCAAAAGTTTTCATTTGGAAAAAATATCATAACAAAAAAACTTCCTCAACTATTTGCATGGAGTAAACTTAATTGAAGTTCAATTAAAAACATCGAAATTTTGATGCTTATACCGAAAAAAAGACATATCTTTAATTACAAAGATAAATGTCGCGTATTAAGCGAAATGCCGATTAAACCATATACCCTTTCACCCTTCGCCATGTATTATTGTGGCGCATTTATCTATGAATTCAAATCATTCAGGCCTCAAACATACCAACGAGATGGAGATCGGGATCATCGAAATCTCTAACGTCTGTTTGGTGCCGCGTCGTGTACGACTCCAAGATCGTCAGTAGAACATCTATACTGCCTTCCTCGTCATATATCTGTAGGATTGGTAAGAACGGAACGTATGAAAATGATGTGAAACGGAACGCTATGACGTGAGTGAGAGAAAACGTTAAGAAAGGGAAAAGAGAATGACAGAGAGAAGTAGGGCGTAAAAAAGGTGTCAGTTATTTTTTAATTATCATAATAGAAAAGATTTGAGAAGAGAAAAATAAAAGTGCAACAATGGAATACCTAGTATTATTTTATGCGCCACGATTCTAATTCTATACATCTAATTAAAATAACATAATACAATGAACAACTTTTTCCACTATATGCAGCGGATCCGTGGTGTGGGTTAATAACCCCATTTAATCATTGTGACAACGAAGGAAAGTATTCAAAATAAACGAACTGAATTCGATTCCGAATTAGTTTAAAAGTTTGTGTTTCTAAACAGACAGGCGTTATTATTACGCGCTGGGGTTCGGGATAAGTAAATCCACCAAAGTACAACTTGATTACAACTGTATTAGCACTTAGAACATTTAAAACACTTTAAAATTGTCAATTCACTTCTTCCGCTTCGCTTCAGGTGATCTGTTTGCTGTTTCGCTTCAAGGAGTTCCTATTACTAACTGACTGCGTGCCCTCTCTGCAAAGCTTTTATAGTCGATACGACGTTTCTAAAATCGTCGAAAACATTCCTCACAAGTCTAGTACCTTTGACGTGTGTTTCCACTATTTATAGATGGCGTTGTACTTCTCGAGCGTTCTAGACGTTACTAGATCCTTCGATATTCGTTCGGCTATCCGGCGATAGATAGCGTTACTCTGACCGGCGTAACAATATATATTTATGACATTCGTTATTTAATGTATTTCATAGGAAAAGCGTTACAGTTAAAATTTTAGAAGTACTTGCATTAATTCTAGCACGTTCGTCGGCGGCGGCCATGTTGCCGAGCGTGTAAGCGAGACGCACGGCTAATGGCGGCCGGGCGGCGCACGCGGCAAGCGCACGCAGCAACGCGCGGGCGCTGTGCGGCGCCGAGCACAGCCAGACACAGCACGAACACTCGGCCGACAGAACGCTGTGTGAATATCTTGCTTTAATTGACGCGATAACAACTAAAGCGTTAGCTTTTATCAGTCCGATACATCATGTATGGTGGTGTGGAAACAATTAAAATGACGTTAGAGCAAAAACACGTAAAGGACACCGAGAAAAAAAAATGTTTTTTGCTCGGGTAGGCACACGTCGCCCATGGACTTCAGCAATGTCAGGGGCAGAGCAAAGCCGCTGACTACCGTACAGATATTTTTAATGAAAAGAATGACTTTTAAGTCTCAGTTGTGTATTACAACGACTACTCTACCCTTCACATTGAATTATTTCTTCGCGGTACAAATAGACAGGGCAGTGGTACCTACCAGTGCGGGCTCGCAAGATGCTATACCGCTGGTAATCAGTCAAAACTGCCAATGTTATTTGATTTTAACGTTAATTATGTTACCTGAGACAACGAGCCACATTTGTGAGCACGTCTCTGTCGGTGTGCAGTAGCAGGGCAGCGAGCAGTTCGGCGAGCGCGCCGCTCGGGACGAATTCGCGCTCGCCGGCCGCCGCGAGGTTGCGCAGCGCTCCTGTCACTTGGAACAGTGCGTGCGTGGACTGATCAGACAGCGACCGCGGACTCTCAGATTTCTGAAACACGAATCAATTGACATTTAGCCGACTTAACCTAATAGGTGTATGGCTCTAGTAAAGAATGAAAAAAAAAAGAAAACAATTGACTTTTTTTTTCCTATCTAAGCTGATAGCCTTGAGAGGCTATTTCAGCGTAGCCTTAACTAGTAGGTGAGCTCACAGGTTGTCAAACTTGACAACGTTGCTAACACGAACCCTAGCGAGAGCCGTGCTGCGCAGAATCTACCACCGAATCGGAAACGCGACCTACTGAGAAGATCCGGCGAGAAACTCAGTAGACTATGGCTTAATTCGCTCGTCGAGCCCTTCGTCGCAAGCGATGTGTTCAAACAGGACGGTGACCGTCAATTGACATTGATGCAAGAGTACGTTTTGTCAAAACGTATTAATAATATATCGAGTGGTGAAAAGCTATAGATATAGTGAGAAAAGATTTTCCTTCGTAATTTTTCGGAAAAGTTCGTATTTATCGTGCTCTCTCAAATAGCTTCAGTACCCATCATAGATTTTACACTTAAGGTACCCATCTTAGAGCCGTAGGGGTAAGTCGCATCAGCAGACCAATATAACGTCGTTGTCAAACCAAAATCTGCTTTGCACTTTTTGAGATTTTTACTTTTTGACCTTTTCGTATAGTTCACAGCCCTATCTACCCCATAAAAAACTGTTATGTGTCTATAGCTTTAATATTTATCTATAGCTTTCATTTGATATAGTTATTAAAAATTCACTTTCATATAAAAAAAATTACGAAAATGTTTTTACTCGTCAATTCAAAATAGAGTTTTTGCACATGGCAGATTTTGGTTTGACAGCGACGATATATATAGAATGGATAATACGCAATTCAAATATTCGCTATAGTTATTATACAATGACATTATTCATTTTGACATTTGACGCTAAACAATAAAGTTTCATAATAATGGACATGCGGTGGGTCAGCAAATACGTAAATTGTATTGGCTTCTTAATAGAAAGTCTCAACTGTCAGTTGAAAACAAGCTTTTACTATACAAATCTATTATTAAACCCATTGGTCATATGGCATCCAATTGTGGGGTACTGCGTCAAACTCAAATATTGAAATCCTTCAAAGATTTAAATCAAAAACGCTCAGGATGATAGTGAACGCACCATGGTATGTTACAAATGAAAGAATCCATAATGATCTTGCCATAAGAAAAGTCAAAGATGAAGTAATCCATCGAGCTAAAGCATATTGTGTAAGATTGGAAGCCCATCCGAATAACCTTGCTAAGCATTTAATGGACAACCAAATGACTACAAGAAGACTCAGAAGAAGAGTGCCTCAAGATGTACTGTACATTAAGTAGATTAATTGATATGGACATGTCAATGGACATTGCGCATGCTCCGCCGAAATTGTTTTTATCAAAACTACGGTTGAATGTCTTGCGACAGATTACTGCATAGAATAAAAAAAAAAAAAAAAAATTATAATAATGGACATGAAAATGTCACTCATTAAATACGATCATTCAT